GTTTCCAAAATTATTTATGTTCCTTAATACATCAAGAATTGGGATATGTATCATAATTTTTGGACCAGGTTTTGGTGCAATCTGAATATCTGTGAAAGCCATGGTTACACTGGATATGGCTCCACATCCTTATGTAACTTTTTTGGCAAGCATCAATGGTGCAAAAACTAGTGCTTAGCTTCAGCTTGCACATACAAAACTTGAGTCCACAGATTACGGATTTATCTGACTGCTTCAAAAAATTAAACCAGGTATTTTAATTTTGTAGTTCCAAGTGCTTAGGCCATCACCATTTATGCCTTGGATTCAACTGTAAAACCAGAAGCCTAGCTTTATAGCCATACCTGCTTCTGATGTACTGAAGGATGGTCATTGTAGGAATGACTGGGAATTTAGGAGTGATTGCAGACAAATCGGTCAAATTTTATGTCAAAAAGGACCTGAAAGCCTATCTTGCTCACATAAAGTATGAATACCTATGCATTTTGTCTTTGGTAGTCCAAAACCATTCATTAAATTATGTAATGATATCCAATCTAACACAGCATAACCTATACAAAGATTAACTAGTGTACTTCTACATAGCCAGTTTCCCCAATCCCCATCAGGCACCGGCATAAGCGCAAGTAATTAACAACTAAAACAGCTCTTCACCACCGCGAGATGGATTATATCGTTGCACAAAATAAGAACAAGGCATGAATTAGCATTCACCAATACTGACAAATATATTTATCACATCAAACTCTGTGATATATCATATAGCTCACCCTATCTATAAAACAATGCTGTAGCTTATGGAAAAACCACAATACCCGAAAAATGTGATGCCCCCACCCAGCTTGGTTACTCGTATATCTTGAGCGCCTCTAACGCGTCACTTTGACACCACGATGTGCGAATCCAAAAAAGGACTGCCGGTAAAGTACTGTCTTGAATGGATATCTAGCATGACGGGCCAAACCATTGCTGCAATAAAGAGTAAATGGTTGACATCACCATTTTCAATCTTGTAATTCAGTAGGATGCCCTATGACGTGCTTTGGGAGGCCTTTTAGTTTAGAATACCATTTTGATGGACTTGACCCGCACTTTAGCCAAGCCTTAGTGCGCTGGATCAGGGCTTTCGTTACCCATCGGATGCAGAGAGTGTGGATCCAGGGTTCAAAGTCGAATGTGATCTACGTCGTCAGCGTCCTTCCGCAAGGCTAAAAGCTGGGACCAACGCTGTTCATAATCTTGGAGAACGGCCTACCAGATCAAGTGCAAATCGTGGTAAAGATGTTCGCGGATGACACCCAGATATACTGTCGTGTACCGAGGCCCCTGTCTTGGTTTCCTCTTCAGGTCCACCTCGACGACATGGCCAAGTGGGCAGGGAAGTGACTGCTTCCTTTTAATGCAACAAAGAGCAAAGTAATGCATATCGGGAACAGCAGCCGGAGATTCATCTACTTCTTGAACGCTGCTGAAACTGCGGTCGAGCCCGCTGAGAAGGACTTCGGGGTGTTCGTGGATCATAGGCTCAAGTTGCATGTACCGACGGCGGAGGCGATCTCGAAGGCCGACCAGACGCTGGTGGTCGTGAAGTGTTCGTTTGCCAACATGGATGCTCGTACTGGCTACATGGCTGCCACCGCTCTGCAAGATCTTAGTAAGTCCGTACTTAGAGTACGGCAAGGTCATTTGGGACCAGTTCGGTAGACTGAACTAGGAGAGGCCGGAGAGAGCTCAGCGACGAGCTATGTGTCCTGTCCACAGAAAGAGGCACCGGCCATACCCTGAGAGGCTCAGACTTCTCCAGTTGCCCCCGCTACACTGCCGTCGTCGCAGGGGAGACATGTTTACAGTGTGTCACTGTTTCACGGAGGTATGTCGCTGTTGGAAGAGGAGTCCCTGATGAGACACAACTCGGAGGTGACAAGAGAACACCAGTGGAAGCTAAAAAAAAAAACTAGCGCTGGGACTCTCGTCCGCCCGCAGCTCGTTCAGCGCGCGGGTCGTCAACGATTGAAACACCCCCCCCCCCCCCCCACACCCGATGATGTTGTCAAGTTCAGTTGAACGGTTGAAGTCTAGGCTTGATATGCACTGGGCTCACATCATGTGCAAACCCAACTGAATCTTCCCATAATTTGAGACTGTTTGGTTACCGGACCAGGAGCCTGACGAGACTGGGACCGACAGGCAAAGTGGCCTTTTATCATTCCTGATCACTAAAAGGTATGGTAAGGTAAGGTAATGCGACAAGGACCCGTTTTTGATGTCTTAGAAGCTCGATGGGAAACCCGAAAAACGGGAAAACGGATTCGCTAACGGGAAAGCCGGGGACCTGAAATTCAACAAATGTCCGTGAAGTTGGCGCACGGACACTCAATCATGCCATCCATTGGGCACGCGCACTGCCCAGTGTTGGAGAAGCAGCGGAGCGTCACAAACGTGATGGCAGATTTACGGTGCAGTGTGTCTAGTGCATTCATGGCAGCGAAGGCAAGGCAGCATATTTCGTCAGAGTGGTACGATGACGCTAGGGAGTCGTTACCCCGGACACGTGCAAGTAAAGCGCGCACCTTAGGTCATGAAATAATGTAGGAAATTAGGACCATAGATATACATTTTTTGCTATTTTTGACGTCAACAGGTTAGGCAGTAGTGGGATACAGCTCACCCCTAGAGGGCCTGGAGCATCTCTGGCTCATCCGCTGCCAAGGTCATGCGTCTTAACTTGTGATGAACATAACAGATACATATGCCGTAATGTTTCCGATATCGCGCAGCTATTTTGATAGTAAAGCTGGACGCATTGTGCATATTTACTACTGGAAAAAGAACTGAATGACCTTTCAACTTTCATGAAAGCTGGTAAAACGGGAAGGCAGTATAATGACTTTATGAATGTTCATAACGGCAGCGTAAACCTGTCAAGACAATGTGGACTCTGGCTGCCCCAGCTGCCTCTGACGTCATCCTCTGCTCCGGGAGGCGGCGACCGAGAGGACCGCGGGAATGGCGGCCTCACTAGTTTCGCGCGTCCAGAGTCGCGCGAAAAATTGTATTGGGTAAGGCACGTCCCATAGTCGAGGGCCTGAACCTGGCTTGGAGGTTAGCCGGCGTTTACGGTGCGTGGATCGCGCAAAACGGATGTCCTCAACTGCTGCGACCGCCGGGAGATCCTCGCTCCTAAACCGTCAAACGGCGGACCCTCGCTCCAAGCAACGGCGGACCCTCGCTCCTAAACCGTCAACGGCGGACCCTCGCTCCGACCACCGGCGGACCCTCGCTCCAACCAACGGCGGACCCTCGCTGTGGCCACCGGCGGATCCTCGCTGCGGCCACCGGCGGACCCACGCTCCAACCAACGGCTGACCCTCGCTCCGACCACCGGTGGACCCTCGCTGCGGCCACCGGTAGATCTTCGCTCCAACCAACGGCGGACCCTCGCTCCGACCGCCGGCGGACCCACGCTCCAACCAACGGCGGACCCTCGCTCCAACCAACGGTGGACCCTCGCCGCGGCCACCGACAGGCCTTCGCGCCGACCACCGGCGGACGCTCGCTCCGACTACCGGCGGCCTGCATTGCAGCCTTCAGTTCTGTACCGGCGGCTCCCATATGGCACAGCCGGGAACGGTACGACCCGTGGAAGACTCGGGAGCGATGGTTCTGCGCGATGCGCCAGTCTCTGCGCGTTCGCCGGTGCTGCTTCCCTGCGATCTGCCGCAACCGGCGATCTGGCCGCGATCTGGGCATCAGCAACTATCCCCGCCTATCAAATCATCAGAGTGCAGAAATAGAAACTCGCTCGCTTGTATCAGCAATTTAAGGACGTATGCTGCTGGCATGGGTCTGGCGTATGCATTACCACATCAGGCGAGCGGCCGGCTTTCACGTGGCCCTTTTCCGAGAAAGCAGCTTACCGAGTTACTGGGTATGACAGAGCGAGGCCTGTGCGCTTCCCCGGTCGATGGCGCCCCTCACTGTTACATAGGCGTGACGCTGTTTTACACCGGCTTTTCGACTGCGCTGATGGTTGACGTGGCGCCTGGGCATGGCGTACGAGCAGGGAGGGCCAACGGACTGGGCTTCATTCTGCGCGCAATTTTGCCAACGAGGTTATTGTAACGCATGCGAGAAGTTGCTTTGAAAGAGGCTTGACCCATTCGGTTTTTGAAGCGTCCCACGCGACTGCGTACGGGGACTGGCCGCACCCATAGGTCTTATGACCTAAAAACGGGGCTGGCTTACACTACGACCAGAACACACCTAAGACACAGAAAACACAGCGCACACAGAGCACACAAAGCACACAAACACATCGAGCACAAAGCACGCAGAACGCACAGAACACGAGCACACAAACCATGCGAGCACACGCACACACGTGCACGGTTTGTGATAATTGGAAGTGGCGTAGTGTAAAATAGGCCAGCGATGTTTGGAGATTGTGTGAAGAAGTGCTCTCGCATTGAGCAACTCACGGAACGCAAACAGTTGGAAGGAAAAATAGCGCTATGTAAGCCTGAGCTCAACGATGTTGTTTTAACCCCAGCGCGTGGTGTCTTTCTAAATTTAAATCAGACATAGTCTCTCAACGTCTGGACAGGCCAGCTGGTCACGGAATCCCGACATGGTTTCTCAACGTCTGGACAGGCCAGCTGATCACGAATCCCGACAAGGTTTCTCAACATCTGGACAGGCCAGCTAGTCACGGCCAGGCCCACACCAGCAAAGGCTCACAGGCGTGCAGTCGGTTCCTGGTCGTTGTGTCGGCCCGCCAGCTGCCTGGTTAGCCGCGCGCGACCGGCACTCCTCGGGCGTCGCTGCACGCAGCTCGCTGCGGCCGCTGGCACCGGTGTCTCTGGCCGAGATTCGACCGTGCTCCTGCGTGCGGCGTCCTGCGACAGTGTTTCTTTCTTCGACGACCTCAAACACACGCCGCCGCTGGCCGGGGCGGCTGGTATTTCCACGGCGCGGCGTCTGCTCGCGCTGTGTTTACCGCCAGCGGCGGCAGCAGCGCTCAGTCCGCCGCCCCGGGCGCCGCCGGCCGCTGTCCGCCGTCCCCGCAGCTCCGAATCGGTGCAGGTCAGCCATGGAGCGACTGCTCGTGCTGCTGCTGCTGGCGACAGCCACCTCAGGTGAGAGAGGCGCTTCCCGACGGGCGGAAGCCGCTCCCCGACAGGTGAGCACCGCTCCCTCACAGGTGAGAACCGCTCTCCGGCAGGTGAGCACCGCTCCCTCACATGTGAGAGCCGCTCCCCTACAGGCGTCACCGCTCCCGGGAAGTAACGTCTCTCGTCGGTGCTCACCTCAAATTAATGCCGCCCTCGACGCTCTCAATGCCACGGCATAAGGACAGAGCAGAGAAAGAAATGTCTGCCCTAATGCGGCACTCTATTCGTCGCAGCTCTGTGAACGAGCGCACATTGTATCAGGTCAAGGACGCGTAAGGTGATTGAGTCTTAGACAATAACAAAACGACGACCATCGTCCAACGAAACTCGCGCGCGCAAAGACCGCGGCATGAGTCGAGAATTGAACCCAGGCCCTCCACGTAGACGCACGCATGGCAACTACCGCATTGAAGCTCAAGTGCACTGTCATCAACCAACCCGGTTTACCCTAACCTAACCCAACCTCACCTAACCTGACTTAATCAGACCTGACATAACCTGACCTTATCTAGGCTAACCTAACCCACCCTAACCTAATCTTACCTAACGCAACTTAACGTAACCTAACCCATCCCATCCTAGCATGACCTTCCCCAACCACACCTAACCTGACCACACCTGACCTAACCAAAGTTAATCTAAGCAACACCCTCTGCTTGGAGCCAAAGGATCACGCCACATCACGAATTGCATTACTATCGCCGCATCGTCAATCACATCATTAGCAGTAGAATAAGCATAACAGCTAATCGCGTTTTAGTTACATTCATTTCATTAACTTGCCTGTTTTCGAGAATAGTGATGCGATGGGAAGGTCTACTTCCAGTGGCCAGCCCCGTCAACCGAAACCACAATTTTACCCCTAAATAACATCGAAGTTTACCGGACTGGTGTCGCCACGCAACGGCCCAAAATGGCTGCCGGAGCGTTTTCTAGTATTGGATATAACGTTTGTTAACACGCGCGGCCGGGTTGCTTGCTGAATACCCTACACTCGAGTGGGGGTCAATTTGACCAGTCTCCTGAGATCTCAGAAACTAAAAGAGCTAAGAACACCGAATTCACAGGATGCGTTGACCTGTAGGTGACCTCACTGGTGCCAAAATTCGGGTTCCCAGGCCATGACCTAACCCGAGCTCAGACTCGAGGCCTAGCTTCGGGTCAAATAAAGTCAAACAAGATCAAACTCCAGATTGGTGGTCAAGGTGCCCCAGAACCTAGATATCAATTCCAAGCAAAAGATCACTGGCGCTCATTTAAGGTCATTGACCTTGTTCGATCTTTCGGAGGTCATGTTGCCAGAACCATACAAGACTGCTTTGAGTTTTGCATTCGAATAAGCGTCAAAGATTACGCTAGGCAGTATGCTCCTAAGAACAAAATGTTGACCCGATTCATTTAAGATTAGTGACCCATCCTGACCCTTAAGAAGTCTCTAGAAGATTGCAATGCAGTTGCTGTTATCAATAAATTTGAAACGAGTACCGGAAGCACCCCACACAGAGTAATAGAATAATGAAATGGTCTAGTCTAAATAGTCTAGAGAAATAAAACAGGTTGTTTCTGGCCCAGGTCGGACCTTCATACCTGGCCCTAGGTCAGCAGACTTGTTCATTCTATTGTTGTGCTACCTAAAAAAAAACATCTCAGAAATGTGTAGCTTCTTCTAACATAACGTCGTTGGATCAGATTAAAGGTTTCCCAAGAAATCGTCTTCACTGAATTCATGGCCTGGCTTTGACCTAGATAGATCAGTGACCTTAAAAGGTACATCCAAATTTTTGAAACCAACAATCCGTATTCAATTGTCTACAGCTATGTAAAATTTGGCGCGGGCTCACAGCGCCGTCCGGAAACCATTTTGGAAAACCTTCGGGTTTTCGGGAGGGGGGTCAATTTGACCCCCCCCCCCGAACGTGTGTTAAATATTGTCAATCACCCACAAGCGAGAGAAGCAAATGGAACAGAAACGCGCTGCGTTACACCATCCACCCTTCCGCAAAACTGCACATGTATGTACAACTGGTGTGCATGTATGTGTTATGCACACGTGATATGTTTGTAGGTATACATATAACGCGTGTGACGCATGTATATGGCATACACACATCAGACGTGTATCATTTTTTCTGCATCGGTTTTCATCGACGAAAATGTAGCCAGGGGAATTTTCAACTCTCCTTCAAACATCTTCATCTGTTTTCCAGAATTCGAGTTTCCCGAGGACCCCCCACTTGCGGAGGTCACCGGGCCGCCAAGCACAGCGGAACCCGAAATCATTGATCCTGACGAAGATCTAGTGGACCCCGGGGAAGACGGGGTATCTGGACGATTTTTTGGAATACCAGGTAGCTTCGGCGATCTTGATAACGGAGCGGCATAGATTATACTTTTGGCCTGGCAGGCAAACGGATCACCATAGTCCTAATGGCATGTGGTGAACGTAATAACATGTTTGCGAAAGTACATATGATAACATTTTACGCAGCAAGGCAGTGTGCTGTAATGTCGCGTATGCCTGACGCGCCATCGAAGACTGCTTGGCCGCTTTCTGTCTCGCAAACAATGACGTGGTAAAATGATCATTGTGCATGCTATTTTCTCCCACAGTGATGCATTTAACAAGGGTATAGAAACAGCATGTGCCTTTTTTACACACCAACTCTGTGGAACTTCCCGGAACAGGTCTGTGATGTTTATGTGTCATGGCATACACTGCATGTTTACGCTGGCATAAACATCCATGTGAGAGCCGTGGTAAAGGTCGGACCATAGTTCTGATACAATACCTGGAGGGGCAATGCAGTTGACCTGGAGCATGTGTGGGTGAAAATGGCTGGGCACGTAAAGACATTATTCCTATGATACAAATGTAAAAATTGCGGCTGATGATTTTTTTTTCTGGAAACTGCTCTCTCTGCTGCAACAATCCAACAAGGATTTCATTCATCCCGACGTAGCAGAACCGATATCCTTCGTCGGGTACCAAACACTGGGTTCCGGGACAGAGTTCAATAAAGGAACGAGTGGAAAAGGGAACGGAAATAGTCGAAAGAAATTGAAGTCGAAGGGATAAAAGCAGAGAGCGGCATCAGATTGGAAAACACTTCGAATGAAAAAAGTCAACAGAAGTACAGCTCCAATCGGACAAAGTCGTGAGGGGATAAGAGAACTAAAGGACAAAAGTAAGGTCAGAAAACAAGATATAGATAAAATTTGACGTGAAAAACGTCGATTGGAATAAAATTAAGTAAGCAGGTAGCCAAGACGACTGGAGACAGAAAGAAGCGAAATGATTGAACACCCGACATGAAATCAGATGTGATCCCGTGTACGACAGTAGGTTCAATGCGTTTCTCCATCGCTGTCTTGATAACGAAGCGGCAGGGATTCTACTGTTGGCCTGGCAGGCAAGTGGATGGCCAGAATCCTATCAGCATGTGCTGAACGTGATGATATGCGTGCGAAAGGACATATTACACATTACACATCGGACATATCACAACATTTTATTACAACCTACATGACATATATGACACCGGGTCCTCTAGTTCGGGCTCTTCCGTGCTAACCCCGTAAACGCTTCTGACAGGAAAGCCTTCTGACAGCCTTCTACCCTTCTACCCTTCATAACCAAGCCATGCGAATCACGCCCTTGTGTTATCAGATGGACGATCTGTTAGGGAGCCCCGATAGCCTCTATCTATCCCGATAGCCTCTACCTATCGCGATGAAAATGCCTTCCCTAGCCATTACGTGGGTCGGTTGCGGGCAGCACAGGCGTTTCACGGCAGGACGCGGCGTACGGCGGCGGCGCCTGACGTGAATTCCGTTTTTCGTTAGTCCTGGTGCTGCACAGGCACGTGCGTAGTTACCAATGTTGATTCCTGATTTCCCACTTCCCGCTCTGATAACGAGATTTTGGAGGCTTGGTTTGGCTGGTTATTTCATAAACCTCGCCTCCTATTTTCTGGATGTCATGGACTGTCCTGACTCCTTGTTCTCACTGGTTATTTGGCAACTAAAAACATGGACTCTCTTCCTGATCCGCACTGTTCCCTTCAGAAGCACCAGGACCTAATTCCTGGTTCCCTCAGCTTTCCATAAACACCAGACCCCCGTACCCTGGTTCCCACCAGTTATTGTACAAACATCAAGTCCTGGTTCATGTTTGCCCCTGGTGCTTTGGATCCCAGCGTCGAAGTGTCTGTTTCAGTCCCTATCGACATTACTATTTCTTTACTCTTACTGATAACACTTTCATCCCTTTCTACCATTTATCACTGTTGTTTCTTTGTCCTTCGACCTTTCCCGGTACGCCTCACATTCATTCCTGTCGACCTCCACCTTTTTCACCTTTTATCCTCCGACTTTTCTGATTCAACTTTAACCCCCGCCGGCTTTCTGAGGCTCTTTTTTTGTTCGACTCTTTTCCATTCGCCCTTTTCCGTTCGGTCCTTTGTCCAAATATCCCGCATTGCTCTGACCCATTCTTTCAGGATTATCAGAGCAATATGATCCATAATGTTCAAGGTCACTGTAGGCTAGCGTTGCCAGGGTGCGCAGAAGTCCTCCGCGCGAACACAATTATTTTGCAAACTTACGTGGCAAGATTGCAGTGGATCCCGATACTCTACGCTTGTTTTAAAATGATGTGTTGCTGCCATAATGCATTGGCATAGCCTTGCACAATGTCTTGAGAATCGATATATGGTCAATAGTCAAGTTCCTCCATAAACCGCTCTTTATGCCCACCTTTATGCCTTCTTTACTAAGCCTGCCTGATAACATTGTTTTTTTCAACAATGCTTCGAATATTGGGGTTAAGGAAGAATCCCCTATTTTGGTGATCCTCACTGTAAGGCTGGGGGGCAGGCTGCCCAACATCGCCCCTGCCCCCCCCCCCACACACACCCCTTGACGATAACCTCGATTTTAATCGTCGTAGTTATCTACGGCGATCGCACCGAACGCCTGACGAAGCAGCGCAACGCCGCCATCAGCACCGCCACCAGCGCCGCCACCAGCACCGCCACCAGCATCGCTCACCGTCGCTGCTGTCGTCCCCAGGCCTGAAGAAACTCGGCTCTGTGGCCAGCAGTCTCCTGAACACCATCAAGTCGGGCGACGATGACCAGAAGCGATTCGCAGCACCAGCCCCTCCACCGCAGCATCAGACTGTGACGACGGATTACCTGGTGGGTGACCCCCCCCCCCTCCCTCGGTCTCGTGGCGGGGCGCCTTGAGTTCGCGGGCCGTGAGCGGGGTCACGGCGCGTTCTCCGCGCTTCGAAACCGGAATTGCTGAGTTGGCTCGGGGTGGGAGGGAGGGGGCGGGGTTCTGGTGCCTGTCACCCGGTTAGTTCTTAGACACTTTTGGTGCACACTGCACGTATTTTTTAAGCCCCTGAGTGCGCTTATTCAGGCGACCGCAGACAGACGTCAACTGGGCCATAAGCTGGAACAGGGATCCCCAGTCGCGTGAAAAACGGTGCAAATATGTCAGTTCTAATTCGGTCCAAAAAACGAACCTCATTTATTCATCAGGAAAATCAGCTTCACTACACTGATTTTGTCTGTTTCAGGAGTATGATGTAGTCAGTGATTACATGGACAGCCCCGTCACGTAAGTTTAAAGAGCAACGGCTGCTGGCTACGCGGCACGCGTTGCGAACAATACACCATTGCACGGCTACGGTTGCATGGGACAAATGTGTAAAAATACGCCCCTTGCTTTTTCCTAATTTCTTGACGTCTCCAGATGTAAGGCGAAATGCCACGCACTGCATAATCTGTGATGAGCCGTTTGCATTTATTGTAGCTTATTTGATTGACAGAAGGCCATACAAAATTGGGGAAGGGCGGGAGAGATGAAAGGGCCCTTCTTTACTATTGTGTCCCCTTTGAATTGCAGCTTTGTGGCAGCAGTGAATGGAAACGCAGGGAAAAAGGGTAATAGCCAGGCAAAAGCCTATAAACCTAAACCTAAACCTAAAAAACCTAAACCTAAAAACCTAAACCTAAAAACCTAAACCTGAAAACCTAAACCTGAAACCTAAACCTAAAAACCTAAACCTAAAAACCTAAACCTAAAACCTAAACCTAAAAACCTAAACCTAAAAACCTAACCTAAAAACCTAAACCTAAAAACCTAAGCCTAAAATCTAAACCTAAAAACCTAAACCTAAAAATTTAAACCTAAAAACCTAAACCTAAAAACCTAAACCTATAAACCTAAAAACCAAAAACCTGACTATCGCCCAGGAGGAAGTCAAATCGGGGCATATAGAGGGTCAAATCAAGACCCTTTTAGGCAAGGACTCACTGCGTCGCCATAGGAGCCGTGTTTTGGCATTCGACGGATTTGGGGGGCTCGTAACCCCCTTTTCATGCCTCAGCGACCTTTTTTGATGTCTTTAACCTCTACGAGCACCCGGAACGACTAAAAAGTACCAGGCCCTTTGACCCCAGTAGTTTTCGTGCCATCACCCCACCAGCTCCAGGGTAGGGAGCGGGGGCATGCCCCAAAAGCCATCTCCTTGGCCACGCTTCTGGTCCCGACGGCATATCCCAGGTTCTGGGCAGTCGAGCTGCAGTCACACATAGGACGGAGCGTGGACTGGGCATTTCCAACTGAGATGTGCTCGCGAGATGGTGGAATAGACGACGGGGACTGGAAAATGGCGTGCGGTTGGGTGGTGTCCGAGCAGCGAGAGAGAGTGCTCGCGTTATGTCCGAGCAGCGAGAGAGTGCTGAAAGGCGTGCAGTTAGGTGGTGTCCGAGCAACGAGAGAGTGCTCGCGTGATGTCCGAACAGCGAGAGAGTGCTCGCGTGATGTCCGAACAGCGAGAGAGTACTGAAAGGCGTGCGGGAGAGCATGAAAGACGAAAGACATCGACCGTGTGACACAAGATCGCAGTAAGCATGACATGTACGACGCCGGAGAGCAGCAAAAGACTGAAGTGGGTAAACAACTGAAAGCGAGCTCATGGAGCATGGCGATCGAGTGCATATGATCTGCATGTCCCTCCGACTCTCCGACTGCCGCGCCAGCCAGCCTGCCAGCCAGCCAGCCTGCTGGCTGTCACCCCATGGCCCGATCGGCCGACCGCGGGCCCTTGTGTGACCTTGACATGTGACCCGGCAGCCCGGTGGTGGACTGCTCTCAGCTGCGAGGGCGGCAGCGGCGCCGGTGCCTGCGGTCTCGGCGAGGGAACCGCGTGGCGTCTGGGGGCAGGCCAGAGCCGCCCCCCTTCGCCGCCAAGTGAGCTCACTGGGCATGGTGGGGAAACCAAAGCGTTGCAGACCGATGCTACATCGATTTTTTACTTTCGCATCTTGTATTGAACTGGAGGTCGAAAATGTATGCTCCTCGTGATTTCAGCAGTGTCTTGGCAACGGGTCTGCCGGGAGTGTAGTGGTTAACGTGTTCGCGTTAACTACTGCGCGTCTGGGAAACGAGAGGTACGGGGTTCAATTCTCCGCGGCGCCCACCCTTCTGCCAGGGTGAGATGCAGGCGACGCCATATAACCTCAGCAGCCGAGTGCGTCGTAAAGCCCCCAATGACGCAAACACGGTGTCATGGCAACCTTCAGTGATCATTGACGCACAAATCACATATTTAGTTTCTACGTAAACGAATTTGGCCCAACAGTTGCATTGCCTGAAAAATGTTCTGGCGTGCGAATACACACCGGGAGACCGTTGGAAACCTGAACAAAAACATATCGTTGATATGACACGATGCACTAAGAGGCAAATCGAAAAGTACACCAGAATAATAAAAATGTCTTTACTACCTGCAGCAATTAAACAAGCAGCTGGCCATTCGCTTTACATGCTACCTATGCTCTCTGAAGCCCCCTCCCCCAGCCAAAAAAAAAAAAAAAAAACAGAAAAAGTGACACGAAGCCACGGCTATATTCTCCATCAAAAACAAGCAGTAGCAAACACGCTGGAGCACTTTGCTTGCGAGCTTCGTGGCAGCCGCATGGTTTCATAAAGCTAACCTGCCGTGCGTGTCTTGTTTTGCGGACAGTGAATTTGGCAACATCGACTGCTCACAGTACCGAGGTCAGCAGCGGCGGCAATGTCGTCAGGCGCGCCGGAACACGAGGTGCCCTCAGCCGAACCTCGGAGCGAGCTCAGGTCAGTAGCTGGCTCCTCTTCCACCGCTGGTTAGTAGCTCACCCCGCTCCGTCCTCGGACGGCAAATTATCGCTCCTAGTCTTTGCTGGTTAGCTCACCCCTCCCCCCGAACCAGTGGCCAGCAGCTTGCTCTTGCCGTCTCCCGGCCAGTAACTGATTCCCCCCTCCCCCCCCCCCCCCAACTCTGGCCAGTGGCTGAGACCTCGCTGTGCCGATGCCTGACAGCTCATCTGGTCAGTAGTTGACCCCTCCCCGACCTCTCGTCAGTAAGCGGACCCCTTTCAATATCTGGTCAGCACCAGACCATTTCCGACATCTGTGTCCCGTTACCAAACGCTTCCAGAAGATTGCAACCGATGACATTGCAGTTAACTGCGTCACAGCAGTTCCAATGCCTTGGATTAGTCATTTGTGTACGGCGTAGTCGTCGTCATGACGTCTAGGTAGCAGCCTCAGGTAGGTACGGTGCCCATGAAGACTGGGCTCGGGTGAATAACTGACCCTTCTCCCACTTCTGGTCGGCAACTAATCCCACCCTAACCTCTTCTTCGGAACTGACCCCTTCCTCAACACCTGCTGAGTAGCCGATGCCCCTTTGAACTCGGCCGAGGGTTCACACCGCCGGCTTTGACCCATGCTGAGTTGGTGACCAAGGACTCACTTCCAATGAGTAGTGACCCTCGGTCGGGACACCGATAGTTGGCAGAGTCTTGCTCTCAAGCGGTTCCGGAAATACCAGGTCTGAAGCCTTCCTCATCGCGTCTTGTTGACAGTCACGTGCAGGCAGCTCGCCGTCGAGCGCAAAATGACCTCAGCAACCGATACGCTCGCAAAACCCTCAGACATCATCATCATCAGACAGTTCATCCGCACCGTAGCGCTGATGCTCTCTCTCCGTGTCCCCTCAGGCGGTCCAAGCCGACTAGCGCTGCAGCAGGCTCAGGAATGCTGCCAATATCAGCAGGGTGGAGACCTCATCCACTTCAACAACTGCTGCCAGGAGTTCGGCTTCTGTCCCATCTGCGAGGCTGGTGAGCTGGAGGCGGCAGGGCAGTGACCTAGATCATTGTGCGACAATTACGAGCAGTGGTCACTTAGGAACACCTAAACAGGGGTATGGTCTCCTGGACTTCTTTGAGAAATGGGGCCGAAGCCAAGCATAAACCCGTTTGTTGGCACATTTTTAGGATAGATTGCTTCATTTTCACTGCTCGACGCTCGAAGCTCGTTTTGGAAGACTATGCGCTTGTACTTAAACAATGATATGGCGGATGCTGAAATCCTTCTCAGTGATTACATGATGAGTAAACTTTTGGCCGGAGTCCAGTTTAAGTCACGGCTACGCCCAGTGTACCACCAATGCAAGGCTAGACAATGGGCCTCACACATCCTCGCATCAGTATGCCAAAGACACTTTACCAACGCTGAGTGGACCAGACTCTCCTGGGCTCCTCGGCCGCTCCAGGAGCTGTTCTCCTGACCGTGCTGCCCACCGGGAGCTATTTTCCTGACCGTGCTGTCCACCGGGAACTGTTCTCTCGGCTGGGCTGCCTCACGGAAGCCGTTCTCTTGGCCGTGCTGCCCACCGGGAGCTGTTCTGGTTCTCCTAGCCGTGCTGCCCACCGGGAGCTGTTCTCCCTGCCGTGCTGCCCACCGGGAGCTGTTCTCCCGGCCGTGCTGTTCACCGGGAGCTGTTCTCCTGGCCGTGCTGTCCACCGGGAGCTGTTCTCCCGGCCGTGCTGTTCCCCATCTCCGACGTGAGGCGTGACCGGCAGACACGGACGCGCTGGCGGAGGCTCAGTGCTGCCCGCTGAAGTACAGCGGGGATGAGCTGGGGTACAGGCGCTGCTGCTCCCAGTTCGGCATGTGTCCGTTCTGCAACGAGCCTCCAGAGCCACCCAAGCCAGCGGGTGAGTCTGCTGCCAGGCATTCAATGCTTGGCAAGCCGCAGAGTGAGTCTCTGGCCCGTCGTTTTCTGCTTGGCAGGCCGCAGGGTGAGTCTTCCTTTCGCCGATCCTTTACTGCTTGGCAAGCCGCAGGGTGAGTCTCTGGCCGGTCCTTTATTGCTTGGCAAGCCGCAGGGTGAGTCTCCGGCCGATCCTTTACTGCTTGACAAGCCGCAGGGTGAGTCTCTGGCCGGTCCTTTACTGCTTGGCAAGCCGCAGGGTGAGTCTTTCGCCGGTCCTTTACTGCTTAACAGCCGCAGCGTGAGTCTACGGCCGATCCTTTACTGCTAGACAAGCCGCAGGGTGGGTCTCTGGCCGGTCCTTTACTGCTTGGAAAGCCGCAGGGTTAGTCTATGTCCGGTCCTTTACTGCTTGGCAAGCCGCAGAGTGAGTCTCTGGCCGATCCTTTACTGCTTGACAAGCCGCAGGGTGAGTCCCTGGCCGGTCCTTTACTGCTTGACAAGCCGCAGCGTGAGTCTTTCGCCGGTCCTTTACTGCTTGGCAAGCCGCAGGGTGAGTCTACGGCCGATCCTTTACTGCTAGACAAGCCGCAGGGCGAGTCTCTGGCCGATCCTTTACTGCTTGACAAGCCGCAGGGTGAGTCCCTGGCCGGTCCTTTACTGCTTGACAAGCCGCAGGGTGAGTCTTTCGCCGGTCCTTTACTGCTTGGCAAGCCGCAGGGTGAGTCTACGGCCGATCTTTTACTGCTAGACAAGCCGCAGGGTGAGTCCCTGGCCGGTCCTTTACTGCTTGGAAAGCCGCAGGGTTGGTCTACGGCCGGTCCTTTACTGCTTGGCAAGCCGCTGAGTGAGTCTCTGGCCGGTCCTTTACTGCTTGACAAGCCGCAGGGTGAGTCCTCCGGTCTATCCTTTACTGCTTGACAAGCCGCAGGGTGAGTCCCCGGCCGGTCCTTTACTGCTTGACAAGCCGCAGGGTGAGTCTCTGGACGGTCCTTTACTGCTGGTCATGTCGCAGCGTGAATGTGAATCGTTGTCCAAGCATTTGCTGCTTGACAAGCTGCGGGCATCTTGCGGACCAGTCTATTACTGTTTGTCATGTTGAACGAGTCGCCGGCCACGCCTTCACTGCTTGCCGAGCCATAGGGTGGGTCTCTGATTACTGCTCCGCTGCTTCTCGGCCGCTTGGTTGGCTTGGTCGCAGGCTGTGCCCTCTTCTTGCCAAGCAATAGGCCAATTCTGCACCGCAAGCCAAGCCTCTCCGGCTTCGCAGACCTTAAGGTGAGACGCTGGCCACACCATTACTGCTTGCAAAGCCACACAGAAAAATCGTTGGCCAAGCTCGTAGCGTTTAATAGCCACAAGGCCGCAATGGTAGGCCAAGCCCTCATTGCTTACCAAGCCACGGTGAGTCACAGTCAGCGGCTTCACTGCTCGGTAAGTTGCGAGGTGAGTCGCTGGCCGACCGTTCGCTGCTTGGCGGACAGCGGATGATTGCAGGTCTGTCATTGCTTGGCGGACCGCGGACGATTGCAGATCTGTCGTTGCTTGGCGGACCGCGGATGATTGCAGGTCTGTCGCTGCTTGGCGGACCGCGGATGATTGCAGGTCTGTCATTGCTTGGCGGACCGCGGATGATTGCAGGTCTGTCGCTGCTTGGCGGACCGCGGACGATTGCAGATCTGTCGTTGCTTGGCGGACCCGCGAACGATCGCAGGGTTCATCTGTTCATCAAGCTACGGGGACATCCCTGGCCAGGCCTTTACTGCCTGCCAGACCAGGGGATGGATGGTGCTCTCCTACGCGTGCGAGCGGGCTGTGCGCTGTCTGCCTGTTCAGTGCCTCCTGGTGCATAGCACAAGTGTAGACAACCGCTCCATGAGGGCCGATACAGTGTTCTGCAAGGACCGGTGCAGCGCTCCGCACGGACCGATACAGCGCTCTGTGAGGACCGATACAGCGCTCTGTAAAGACCAGTACAGCGCTCTGTATTGATCGATACAGCGCGCTGTAAGGACCGATGCAACGCTCTGTAAGGACCGGTATAGCGCTCTGTGAGGACCGGTACAGCGCTCTGCGAGGACCGATACAGCGCCCTGTGAGGACCGATACAGTGCTCTGTAAAGACCAGTACAGCGCTCCGTATTGATCCATACAGCGCTCTGTAAGGACCGATGCAACGCTCTGCAAGGACCGGTATAGCGCTCTGTGAGGACCGCAACAGTGCTCTGTAAACGCCGATTGAGAGAAGATGGTTCCGTCATTCGAGTGGCGTGAACTGCGATCAAAGTCGCGTTGGCGAGGCGATTCACGCTTTTCTCCAAGTGCGAACATTCCCTGCCGACCGAGGTTTTCGTGCATTGATACGACCCATGTAATGAGCATTAGCTTTGAACCATTCGTTTCTGTTTTCCACCGCGATTGGACCGGCCATGACGGACTGCGCCGACCCCCCCCCCCCCCCCACCGAATGCTGGAGGCCCGTTGTGTGTGCCGGCAGGTTGCATGTACAAAGGAAAGCTGTTCGCCCCGAACTCAGAGATGGACAAGCTGGCTTACAAATGTATGTTTGTCCGCTGCAATGACGACGGAAACGGGCCAGAAACAGTACTCGAGTACCTGGACATGGTTGGATGTGAGTAGAATGACAGACTCGGGGTCTGTCGTAGGTGAGCTGATGATCTCACGGTGGGTAGCGTTAGATGTAAGCAGGCATGCGCGATTTGAGCGTGGGGCTAGACATTGCGTGTCCTTCAGACCGTGGTGGACCTAGCATATGATACGATGCATGATCTCGGACCGTCGTGTGGACCTAGCCGGTTATACGGCGTATGATCTCGGACCGTGGTGTGGACCTAGCCGGTGGTACGTCTCGTGATCTCGGACTGTGGTGTGGACCTAGCCGGTGATAGGCCATACGATCGCGGACCGTTGTGTGGACCTAGCCGGTGATACGCCATATGATCTCGGACCGTGGTGTGGACCTAGCCGGTGATACACCATATGATCTCGGACCGTGGAGTGGACCTAGCTGGTGTTACACCATATGATCTCGGAGCGTGGTGTGGACCTAGCCAGTGATACGCCATATGATCTCGGACCTTGGTGTGGACCTGGCCGGTGATACGACACATGATCTCGGACTGGGGTGTGGACCTGGCCGGTGATATGTCACGTGATCTCGGACTGTGGTGTGGATCTAGCCGGTGATACGCCATATGATCTCGGACCTTGGTGTGGACCTAGCCGGTGATACATCGTTTGATCTCAGATTGCGAAGGTCCGTTCACACTTTGCGGATTGGCTGCAGAGTCTGCTTCTGCTGCTGCGGAGTCTGCATAACCTGTTCTCAGACGGTGCGGAGAACCTAACCGCGTCTCCGCGCGTCCCCTCAGGCTGCGAGCAGGGCAAGGACCTGTTCCCGCCGGGCCGGAGCATCGAAGTGGACGAGTGCACCAGCCGCGTCTGCCAGGACGGCCAGTGGGTGGACGCCAGCAACGGACTGGCAGGTCAGGGCGGCGCGTGCCGCAGAGTTCGCACCTAGTGCCGGCCGTCACAGGCGCCCCGCTTTGGTCGCCTTCTCTCCGCCCGTACAGCGTCATACCTCGAGGTCGTGCAGCTCCACCGCGTGCTTTGCTCTGTGCTTTCGGGACTTGTCTTTCGTCGGGGTTTGGTAGCGTGGGTGGTTTTTCCGGCGCGGGGTTTCGCCAAGCTTTTGCTGCGTTTTATGTGGTAGTTTTCAGATGTGTCACTCAAACATACACCTACTTTGTGGTACTGTTGGTGATGTTTAATGAATCACGTACGGCAAGACAACGTGAACCTATTGTTGTAAATAAAATTTGCAGACAAAGTGCACAGTTTATACGTTCATCGCAAGGCAGAAACTCCGAAATCTAAAAACGAGTGGTGGCGGAACCGGCCAAATTCCGATTGGACGAATCCCATGGGACTATTTGTATACTTATTTGCTGCCTCCTCGTGACGCACGGTAATTAGGCCCGCGACGTGCCAAAAGGACGGTAGCTATATAAATATAGCCCATCGGCGTCAACATTTCGAAACTGAGCTCATGGGTTTAGTTTTTAACGAAACCAGCTTGCTGGCAACGGCTGATTAGAATACATGCGTTTAAGTTCACGCGCATTAAAGGTCGTGCTATAACCGATGCGCATGCTTCCGCGTAGCGAATCACTAACTCGAATGCCATCTGCTGCCATGGAGAGCGCGTAAAGCCACAGCTCAGTCATCAGTCAAGTCATCATCATCATCATCATCAATAAAGGTCATCAGTAAAGCAGCTGATGTTTTTTCGTAACTCTCGGCCGGTGAGTATTTTTCCCGCTGTTGGCGCCGCGTGCCGCCTCATGTGAGTGCTGCGAGGGAAGCCCCCAACTCGGCAGATGGTGTAACAGTGCTGCTTTCTTAGACTGCCCCGCTCGGTTGGCGATGACATGCTTTGCTCATCAGGTTAAACGAACACCAGGCTCGAAACGGTGCACAATTTGGACTCGTTGCGTAACCTCGTGAGATAGGTATAGCAGAAGGCAAAACTTTCAATTTGCGGCCAAGAAATTGGAACCATTTAGCGAACAGAAGCATAGAAACGACCGTACAAACAGCTTTATAGTGAATAATTAAAATAACACGCTGTAACCGGCATCAGTCTGATTCGTGCTGTCGGCCTATTAGGGATCTCTGCCTCGCTGCTCAGAGACAAATTCAAGCCTCGAAGGTCTTAATCTGTGGTTCGGGCCGCTTTAGGCGTTTGCTATTTGCCTTTGACTGGGATGGCTTGTGGCCGGTGACAGCGGCCGCGCTTTAAGGTCAGATGATGTTAGAGGGAAAACAAGCAGTGCCGAGCATTGCTGCAAGTAAAATTTCGCCACTGAGCTTTGTAACGGCAGAATTTAACGCCAATTTTTTCGCCACTGAACTCCATTTTACCACTTAATTCAAACTGAATACAACAAACCGAACACTGAATTTTACGATGGGATGTAGAGGTCAGGGCTCGCCAAAAAAAACGCAGTTTAGCGTGAGCTCTGATCTCAGAAGTACATCCATTAAAAAAGTGCGGACTAAATCCTAAACATATCACGCGTCAAATGCTTCAAAACAGTAGAAGTCTTCCAAAATAACAATCGCATCGTCAAACCTGTCCCAAACCAACTTTTCAATTCCGACGTAAATATCCGTGTGAGCGACGAGTGAACACAGTTGTGTGCTTCTGTCTGCCGTGGCAGGTTAACAGCTGCCTAGAGAACTCACCCATGTCTCATGACCTACTGGAGCTTAAACGCGATTCTTTTGGATAAAGTGATGTCCTGTTGTCATCAGGGAGTCATGGCTTAATTGGGTTCACTCATCCTGCGTGACTCTCGGAATGTTTTCAAAAACAATTACCTTTTGACAATGGCTTGAAGATTCCACAACTTCAGCGGTATCTTAATGCACCAGGCTTTCTCGTGCGACTTTTAAGCCTACCTATCTGGTATCTTTCCCAGCACACCACTATCCCTGGGTGGCTGTATGTTTTGGTGATTTTATTGTGTTTTGTTGATTTAATTTACCCCACTGATTATCTCGGTCTCCCTGCTTTCTTCGGCCGCCCCGAAACATTCCTGAGAAATCTATAGAAAATATCGCATGCTTACTTGTGAGCATGTGCACCATACCAAAGCTTCGTGCGGCCCGGTCCCTTCCGACCTTGTCAGGTGTACCTGATCCCTGTTAAGTACACTGTACACACATATGTGTCCGATTCACCCCTACAACACCATCCACCACATTCAACGTCATTCAGACCCGTACTGCAGCATGTACGGGAACTGCCCTAGGCCTCAACACCAAAGAAGACCACGCACTCCATCTATTCCTCATGCCACAGCTATAGCAGACGCCTGCAAGGACATGCGGACTTGATTTGGGAGACCATAACAGTGGCTCTTTCCCTGGTGAGTGCTCGTATGAATCAGTAAGGCGGCCCGTGAAACGTGTGACGAGCGAGACAATGACGGGACGGTGGCTATCAGTTGCCATGCAGTAGATGATGGCAAAAACTAAACCAGGTGAGCCAGATATCTAGTGAACCATCCATACTAATGGGTTTGACCAATGCCTTGGAAGTTCGTTCTTTCAGGATAACTCCACAAGCTGGAGGTTCAGTGTTGTAGCACTAACGCGTTAATTTACTACCAACACTGCCAAAAATTTGCTGAATGTGAGTCTGGCAAGACTTGGCAGTTTCACTCACAGATATCGATGGTTTTGCAGTCCCTTATTATTTCGGCAATCGGTGTCAAACTGACGTAAAAACATAAATGCCTTGGGAGATATTCGGGGCAATAAACAGGGCTACTCACCTATGTAACGTCATTGCCAAGTATTTTTTATCTACACCACAGATTCGCGTATTAAAGATCGGTTTCGGAAAGACTGCTGTTGGCCGCCTGGTCGATTTCTTACGTCATGAGTCTGACACCAGGGGTCCACGAATAATGTAGGTCCAGTACGATGGGTCGGAAGGAATCGAGGCCTGCAGCATGACATTCCGCATATTTGGCTGCACCGTGCAGAGGCTTTACGTCTTCATCTGTGTTGGTTGCTAAGATATGCCGCCCTCCTTAACGCGTCCTTAACACGTTAGCAGGCGGATCCGTGGTTTCGCACGCGAGAGTGCCTGGCCGTCTGGACGGGTTTATTCGCACTTTTGCAGACACGGTTGTCAGACTTCTCCTTGGTCTCACATCAGCGGGACGCTAGGTCATCAAGACCCTATCTCTTTTTAAACGTCTCTGAAATAATTGGCGGCTATACGTTTTTGTGTGAATTAAACGTGACAGACAAAACGCCGCGAATGGTGCAGAATGTCCTGGCCGGGTCATGCGGCTTGTACGCAAAGGCTCAACAAGTCACACATCACAGCCTTTAAAGAGCTGCTCGCCTTGTTGATCAAACTGCATGCAGAGGCGGATCTAGAGGGAAGGGTCATGTGGCCAGGCCTCCGCCCCCTTGAGCAGGAGAGGCACCAAAATCTTAGGGTGAAGGAGCACTCTAAGGTGCTCATTTCGGGTCCACGTAACCTTTGATTTGAAGAGGCACCAATTTTTAGCAGTACCACAAATGCTCCCAAACCTTCATTTTTCAGCTGTACTTAAGTCCAGGCGCCCCACTATGGGCTCCAAACCTTTATTCTCATGGTGTACCAAAATTCAGAGCTCACCACGATAAAGCGTGGCATCACCGTTGGCGAAATCTTGGATCCGCCCCTGGCCGCATTAGCCCACAGTTCGTGGATGCGAAGAAAATAGCTTCTCAAAAGCGTAACAATTGGGTCGAGCTTCTTAAGTTGGGCAGTTTGCCAGAGCTGAATTCAGAATCATTAGGACTGTAGCCTTGCAGGTAGTAGCCGCGCTCTGAAGCGCGACCGAGTAAGTCAACACTAATTAGACGCCAAAGAAGCATAACGTTGTTTGGGTCTAAAGTATGGCTACATCCACAAGGCCTTGCCAATAAATCAGGGGCAGACATCAGCTTGCTCATACACCATTGGCAGACCACGCCGTCGCATATAGCCAGCCGGTGAAGCTATGCTGTCTGCACAGGCTGGCTGAATGCGCCCGCCAGTGCAGCCCGCTGGTATTCTCTAGCTCGCACCCAATCATCCAAAGCCCGTCATCGCGAACCCCAGTCACTTACAGGCCCATCCCGAAAGAAACAACGGTTGGGCCTAACATCTCAGTCGATGACAGACACGAGCCCGGTCTGCAATCAGCGACACTGCCCGGAGTGCACCCGCTGTGGACGCCTCTGACACTCCGCTGTGACACTCTGACACTCCGCTGTGACACTCTGACACTCCGCCGTCACCCCGTCAGACGTCTTCGCCAGCCGGTGTCCGGACGGCTGGCTGGACCTGGGCGGCAGCTGCATCTACATCTGGAAGGAGCTGATGACGTGGAAGGACGCCAACGCCGCCTGCGACCGGCTGCTCGCCAAGCTGGCCCTGCCGCAGAACCAGGCGCAGCTGTCACAGCTGATTAACGCCTTCAGCAGCATGGAGGTGCGCGCGCCGGTGTCGGTTTGGATTACTTCGTGAGGGCCCTGTCCCCATCAATGTGTTGACTTGGGCGCTTATGTTGGTTTGGGTACCCCAATATCGATCATCATATAGCACAGAGCAAAACAGGAAGGGTATGAATATCATTCGAAGTCCCTCTCATTTGGACATTATCTCCTTGCAGTGACTACTAGCCCACCGAAATAGAAAGTAGCTCAAATAATCGTAAAAATCAAAGTAATTAAACTAATCAAAACATCGATCAAATCAAGTCCGTCAAATTAATCAAAATCATTATGATTAAATGATTGAGTTGGGATTTGAATTAGGTATGATTAAAGCATGATTAATTTAGATAAAGACACTGCCATTTGTCAAAATAAAGAGTACAAAGTCTAGGTTTGGCCCTTTAACAGATGCACCTTTGCGCACCCGTGCATTTTCGATAAGGTAGGGTTACCTCCCAATAATGCACAAAGAAATGACGCCGCTGGAGGTGTGTGCAGACACATCGCACAGCCCGGCTCTGCGGCTCTGGCGTCGCCGGCTCTGGCTTTGGGCTCTGATTGAGCTCCGCCGGCTTGCCGTCTATGGCTGGGGCAGCGAGTCTGGTGGAACTGGGATCTGGTGTGGGCCACGCCACTGCTGTATCAGTGGAATGTGGCACTACTCTAGTAGCTTTGCCATGGGCGAACGGACACCAACTGCGCGCACAGCGCCTTCGCTGCGTAGTGGCGCCCCAGAGTCAGCCTGTTTTTGTTTTGTTTGGGGGGGGGGGGGGTGATGCACCCAACCTTTCGCGAGAAAGCTGTCAAGTAAAACAAGTGTCTGTGAAACAGTGGTGCTGCGGCTGTGGTGCAGACGGGCGACGCAGCTGTGCCAGAGTTCGACAAAAGGCTGCGAACCGCACGTCGTCGCACAACCCTTCATTGAGTGGTACAAACTGCAAAGGGCATGTGAGGTCTCGTTATGGGCGCCAAATGACCACCGCTGGCGGCGCGTCCGTAGACTCCAATCAACAACAACAAAGGGCATGTAGGCTCCAGAGTCGGTATTGTCAGCCAGGAGTTGAACTCGGGTCCCCACGTGGGTGTCAAAAATATCGCAACTGTGAGTACCCCCCTCCCCCTCCCTGTGACGTCATTATGATGCAGCTTGTGACGCAGTGGTGTCGCACATGGATAACTGATGATATAGCTGTGACGTAACTGGAACTTTTTGTGACGTAATCGTAGCTCGGTTCTGGCCTGACTACGCGATGGCTCTGATGCATTTGCTCTGCTGTTGCGAGACGTAGGTGTTTCGTAGCTATAACTTAGCTGTGCCATTCCGCAACCATAACGTCACTATTCCGTATCTGTGATGCCTCGGTGACGTCACAGTAATGTCGCTGTCACGCTACCGTGACAAAAGTACGGCATGTCCGCACGGCGACTGTGACGTCGCTGTCCTCTGCGGCAGGGACGCAACAGTGAGGAGGTGCTGGGCGGCTGTGACATCTCTGTCCTCTGCGGCAGGGACGCAACAGTGAGGAGGTGCTGGGCGGCTGTGACGTCGCTGTCCTCTGCGGCAGGGACGCAACAGTGAGGAGGTGCTGGGCGGCTGTGACGTCGCTGTCCTCTGCGGCAGGGGCACAACAGTGAGGAGGTGCTGGGCGGCTGTGATGTCGCTGTCCTCTGCGGCAGGGACGCAACAGTGAGGAGGTGCTGGACGGCTGTGACATTCTCTGTCCTCTGCGGCAGGGACACAACAGTGAGGAGGTGCTGGGCGGCTGTGACGTCGCTGTCCTCTGCGGCAGGGACGCAACAGTGAGGAGGTGCTGGGCGGCTGGGTGGACGCCCGCGACTCCGGCCGCCAGTGGCAGACCTCGGACGGCGACACGTTGACCTTCCAGCCGTGGGAGGAGGGCTCGCCGGACGATCGGCGCTACACGGCCTGCGCTGGCCTGACCGTCACCAGCCGCTCGCAGGGCTGGAGGGACTACCTCTGCAACAGCCGCCCAGAACATGATGTACCCCATCTGTCAGGTGCGGACCGAGCGCGCCCCGTTCCCTTGTCGGTCGTGCGTCTCGTGGAATGCGCAGCTCCTGTGGTTTCGTTGGCGTAAGCGTCGGTCGCTTCGTATATCCATGGTGAATGAAACACCGGTGACGACGCCAGGTATGAAAGCGGCCGTTCCTCGCTGGAGAGTTAGACACTCCATCTCAGAAAAACAGCGCCACTCGCAGAGTGGGACACTGGCGGTGCTAAGCACGGTGGCGCCGGCAGGTACCGAAGAAAGGGTGCGGGTCAAAACAACGGCGGCTGCGGTCCCTTCGAGGGCGACATGATGTTCCCCCCGGACTCGGAGATCGCATCGTTTTCTGACCAGTGTCAGACCTTCCGGTGCACAAGCGGATAGCTACGTCATCAGGGAGGTGAACGCGGAGTGTAAGTAACGGTTGACGCCCTGCCTCGGCTGCCGACAGACATATTATGCCTGATTTTTATATATGCCTGATACATTATGCCTGACATATTATGCCTGATAGACATATTATGCCTCGGCTGCCTGATGTCATATTATGGTATTAGGGGGATTTCATGCCATGTAGTGTCATTATGTCATGTCATGTCATATCATGTATGCATGTAATGCTATGTCATGCCATCATGCCATGCCATCATGTCATGCCATCATGTCATGCCATCATGTAATGACATAATGTCATGGCATGCCATGACATCATGTCATGTCCTATCATGTCCTATCCATGTCCTATTTTATATATGCCTGATACATTATGCCTGACATATTATGCCTGATAGACATATTATGCCTCGGCTGCCTGATGCCATATTATGGTATTAGGGGGATTTCATGCCATGTAGTGTCATTATGTCATGTCATGTCATATCATGTATGCATGTAATGCTACGCCATGCCATCATGCCATGTCATCATGTCATGCCATCATGTCGTGCCATCATGTAATGACATAATGTCATGGCATGCCATGACATCACGTCATGTCCTATCAGGGCACCATGGCATGCCATAACATGCCATCATGCCATGTGATTAGGACGCTCACATCACTGGGTGGTGCTGTGTTGGCACGAAGGTCACCCCTTAGAGCGAGGCGCGCACACTGGGTTCAGTGCATGTATGTACGCACATGTCACACGCGACATGGGTTTGATTCACACCTTAGGTGTCTATTCGCTTCGACAAGCAGTGTAAACCTAAATCCCTGCTGATTTCCTGCTGATTTTGGGTGACAAGCTGATAAAAACTTATAGTTCAAACCACTTGTATAGCTGGGTAAGTACCCACACTACAAGACATCGTCAGCGGCATCCCATCATCACTTCGGCAAATAATCCGCACGACTACATGTGCACGTAGGAGTAGTTTTAATTGTCCTCACTCCTTTTTGATACATGCGGAAAGGCTAAGCAAAAATATGTGGTTATGGCTTTTTGATCTCTGTCCCTATTTTTGTGTTTCCCTAATGCATCCGTCAGCGTTTTCAACTTCCCCCATACATTGGGAACAAAGTCAATATAACTGCTCTTATGCATACCTACTGTTCCTTACATATGTACCGTGCACCTTACAACTTAAGTGATCATACTAGAAACAAGAAAAGAAAATATTGTATTTCATGGTAGCTGCTTAAAGCAAAACGTTCCTCAGTAACTATGTAGTTGTTTCAGTCCGATTGAGGCAATTACCATTGGGCATTAATACATTCATTTTGCAAGTGATGAAGAACGCCTTATGTTCAGTAGCAGCAGCCTGACACATGCAATATAAAAAAGTTGCTCTGTGTTATGGACCAAAAAAAGATTACGCATACGGTGTCACGAAATGTGGACACAGCAACAGCAACTCGGTTGAGTGGAATGTCAATCTAGCCCTCAAACTAACCAGACACAGCTGACATGCGAAAACAAAGTGTCAAACCGCGCTTCGTAGCCAGCCGCAGCCACACGCTGTCTCTCCGATCGTTGTCTGCTGTTGTCGTTGCTCTCGCACCAGCCCAACGACCGGCCACCCCGGCAGGTTGCTACCACCACGAGTGGAACAGCAGGGCGTTCGGGCGCGCGCGCGGCTGGTACACGGGCCTGCACCCGCCCGGAGGCTTCCAGCTGTTCGATGGCCTCCTCTGCGAGTGCGAGGCCGGCGTCAGCGACTGCACCCAGTTCTTCGACTACTGAGGGCGGAGGCGCCGGCGCGGCCCGGCCAGGCTGCCGACGTTGTACCCGCCGAACGTCCGTGCGCTGAGGGGACCCGCTGGTGCGCGGCGGCGGTGGGAGGCTGCTCCGGCAGGGGTCTGACGGGAGGGGATGGGGTGATGCTAGACATCCCTGACAGCGAACAGCGAGACATTCGCCGCTCGGGTCTGCACGTTCTGGAGCCTTGTCTGAGTCGCGCCAGTCCTCACACCTAGGCGACGCTCGGTGCAGGTGGTCAGAGTGAAGTGGCCAGTGTGAGCTGAACACATCGGGACGACCGAATCGGCATTTCACGTTTTGGTGATACATGTTTTCAAGGCGGTCTGCGTTTTGTGATTGCTAATAAGAGGGCTGGTGTGAATCGATCATGTGTCAGAAGTTAAACTCACCTGCCGAGGCGGCATCAGAGCTGTTGAAATAAACTGCTGACCTGGATATATATGGTAGGCATCGACTAGAGGCCAATTGAACAAGTCGGCGTGACAGCAACAATGCGCATTACTTTTATTATCCGACATCCGACATGGTTTTATTGACTTCGGAGGTTTGTGGATAAGCGGAAAGTCAAAACTATTCGTCCGTGGTCCCATATTTGAGGGAGATTCCTTTCGCTGATCACCTGCATTGTCTGTTCCAAAGCATAGCTAACGGTATGAAAACGATGAGACCTTTATACGCCCGATCGAGAACCCGGTGCCACCTTTGCACGAAACGCATTAGTGAGATCGTTTCTCGACGTGACGGGACCTGTAAGGCCTTTTGCCATCTTGCTCTATTTTGCGGAAATAGTGAAAAGTTTGCTCCCAAGAGTTAGCTTTCTGACGCTAGGATGTGCAGAATAACGGACATGTTTTTTACAGTGTTGTTCAACTGACGATGTTGAAACACTTTGTACTGAAGACCTGACGCCATGCTATTGTCACCACGTGGTCTTCTCTTCCACAGCACCATGCTCAGGCAAATATCATACATAAATTTTGCAGTGGTAACGGCAATCAACCCAAAAAAACCTAATTTACCATTCGAATGAGATGACTGGACTGTACACGTACCTACCTACAAAATGTGCTTTGTACAATGGATCTTACAGCTGACAAATCCGGGAAAAGTCGACAGGGGGTAGTCCAACAACGGTGGCAGCTGACCTATCGAGACGCCTTAAAATTTGGATAGATTGTGACCACTGCTTTAACTGCTGTCAGAGCAGGCTGCACTTTCACTGCGATAGGTGAAATTGACGACGATCGAGTTGGATCCACTTCTCAGAGAAGAGGGTCTGCTTTGAAGAGATTCGGAGAGGACTGCGTGCACTGGATGGTATGGGCAGGGCGATGAAACAACGGTTTGCATGCGATCGTTCGGAAGAAACGAGTAGGAAGCGGAGCGAGCATATGGCCAGAACTACGTTTAAAGGGCGAGACGGCTAGATGTTTGGAGTGCCGAAGCAAAGGAATAAGATCAATCACGATGCATGATCAATGCCATGCATGCTATTACTAGTAAAAAAAAATGTGAAACTGAGCATTCACTGGTACGATGCGGCTGTTGTCGTGTGTAGAGACTTTCCCGAGGCCATTTTGCACAACGTAGTCTACATACATTGTTAACAATTATGCGGGTTTCGTGTAAATAGGATTTCACCTCGAAAATGAAAAGTCCGGGTTCGCAGGTATGTGGTATGTTTTTAGTATCGAGCTGTTCCTGCCCGGTGAAAGGTTGAGTGCTAGACCATATTATTCGTTCGGTTGAATTGATAAGATAAAACAACACTAATGCAGACATGCGTTTATTCCTGAGAATTTGTATCACTATACCGCAGTTCATTGCAGCGGCATGTCGACCATAGGTCGCCGAAAACACGACAAAACTGATCCAGCACTCACGGTCAGACTGTTCCAGTACGCGGTCACATGATGCAGAGCAGAGGTCCCCTAACCCTGAGCACAGAGCTCTCCAGCGATATGGGATCACCACCCACGAGAGTAGCGCCAGGGCCGCTTCTCCCAGCCACGCGGAGCCAAGGCAGCCAAACCGGCCTCATCCTTCGAAGCCGAAGCCGCCTGACGCGCCCTATTTCCCGAAGTCGAAGCCGTTAAACGTCTGCTGGTTGGAGTTGGCATTGGTATTGGAGAACTGCTGCTGGCCAAAGATGCCGCTTCCGGCCAGGTTGGTGGCGCTGGCGGAGTTGGAGCTCACGGCGTTGCCGCTGGCCGTGCCCTGCGAAAATCGCGCCCAGTTAGCTTTGGGCCAGACACTTGGTACGACACAGGGACGCGGGTGATAGAGGTGGGCAGATGTTCGGCACGACATAATGTCGCGATTTTAGAGGTGGGCAGGCGCTCGGCACGACGGGGAACATACGACAGGAGAAGGGTAGGCGTTCAGTACCACACAGAGTCATGGCACCAGATCAACACGGTAACTTAAGGGAAAGCAACATCCAAGAGCGTCGGCACGCAAAGCAACATGCTGCAATGGTGTGGCCTGGGGAAAGCGCGCAATACAGCGCCGTAGAAAGGCATTAAATTCGAGTGTTGCTAACCGCGAAATGCATTTTAGAACAAAAGCCGTCATGGCTCCACAGATGTCACACTCAGGACGGAGGGCATTTAAATAAATAATTGCTGTTGCGTTTCTAAACAAAACCTCCGTGTAGTTAAAAAGACGTTAGGTTGACATATCGGCATTTTTAATGCGCATCACAGCAGCACGGACAAAATATGACAGTATACAGCGAGAGGCTGCAAACAACCTTAAGTTTACTATGACAGGCTGCAAACAACCTTAAGTTTACCATGACAGGCTGCAAACAACCTTAAGTTTACCATGAGAGGCTGTATAGTTATATTCACAGGATGACTTGTTTTATCTCTCGTTTACTGGTCAGTGTTCCCTGACAATGCAAGGTCGGTTAATGTCATTGCGTACAATTTTTCATTATAAATATAAAAAACAACTCGTATCTACAAGATGGTACCTTTCATCACACGTTACCTTTCATCACGGAGACTGCATCGCGACAACAAGAACGGATCCGAGGAACTGCAGACTATCACAGGAACTAACCGTGAGCAAACTCCCTCGTTATGAGGTGGAACAAAGCGACAAAGAGGCTATTGCCGAGACGTTATATTACGTCAGATGTGTTACGTGCATACGCAGCCGCATTTTACGTGCACATGACAGTAAAATTTTCGACGCAATGTAGTGTGAGAAACCAACGCCACCAGGGGTGGTGGTCGAAACATGGCTCACGGGGAGGTCGAAAGCCTGTTACTTGGCTGGATTTGCTCCATGGGGAAAAATAATATTTGACATGTAAAGACAACCTTAAGCGCAGTTAGCTCAACCATGCCTGCGGCGTTTCATACATTAAATTGAAATTACACAGAATTGTAAAAAAATTAATCTGAAGCGTAATCCTGCCTAAAAAATATTCTGCCACACGAATGCACCAAGTAAGCGCGATAACTCGGGGTTAGCCCAGTGAAACTGAAGACTTATGCAACCCAACATTAGGTCAATGGTGTTGCACGAAAACCAATGAATTGAAATTGGTGTGGGCGCCCGCAGCGCCTCTGGCGGCCGGTAGCGGACTCACGCCTGCCGACGCGCTCAGCTGGGTGATGCTGGCTCCCTGGTGCGGCCCGGTGCTGACCCCTGACACGATGTTGCTCGAGGCCCCGCCGGTGGCGTGGCTCGGCGGCCGGTGGAACTGTTGCGGCGGGAAGCGGCTGAAGCCGCCGAACTGCGGCCGGCCCGAGGCCAGCGCCACCAAGAGCAACACGGCGACGGCGGAGCGCATGCTGTCGGCCTGCCGGCAGGAGAGACGGCTGTTGGGGCGAGGAGTCCGAAGTCGGCGGAGAGGGAAGTTTCCGGTCCTGAGAAACCCTCAGCCGAGTTTAGTTTGATTACCGTGCAACTTGTCTATGCAAATAATGTCTGTTTAATAAGAGGTATAAAAATGACGGGTCTAAATCTCGCGCGTAACGTGCACAGTGTATAAAGAACATTCCCCTGCCTTTTTCGGAGGGGAGTGAAATAAAGGAGTACCAGCATGGTCCGGGAAAAACGCCTTTTTATAAGGGATGAAATAATTTAAATAGATTGGTGAAGATTTTACTTTACCTAAAAGAACACCCAATTTGATATGCTGCTTTGTGTCAGGTACCAAAGAGAGGGTAACATTAATCCATTTAAATAACATCTCTTTGCTAACAATCGGAGTACGAGTGTCAAATCATCCTCCCATACAGTAGTTGAAATTACAAGATCGGAGGGCATGGGGGAACCTCATGGATCTCTCACACTTGGTGAAAGATCTTTCACAGTTTCACGGAAATTGGACACAATTCGACAAAAACAAAATTATCCGCGCCCGCACACAACTAAAACCACTCTCCAACAAAGCATCTAAGCCATGCGCCGTTCACCACCGTCGGAGGCGACAGCCCGCTGCCCTGGCGCGACACTCCACGCTCCTTACCTGTTCGCGGGTGGGGATACCTCGTCAGTGGGTCTGCTGGTCTCCCCCGACCCCTTTTATGCGTGCTGCCAGCTGACTGCCCCTGGGGCGGCACCCTGTGCGTGGGAATCTACGCAGGAATGCCCGACCCGTTCGCTGGGGCGCAAGTCGCCGCACGTAGCGCAGAGCGCGTGGCAGCTCGCGTCGACCCCGGGACGGAGTTTGAGGCTGCATGAGCGAGTCCCTGTATGGGGCTAATCCCACACGAGGGACTGAACAGCACAGAAATGGTCAATTTTTTCGCCTGCATAATCCTCCGGAGTGTTTTCTCGCAGCTTTGCGTGTGAAGTTAAACCCAATGTTGTAAAATATCAGCCGACACACGCACATTGCTTAAGAGTAGGACTGTAATGATTAAGCAGCGGAGAAGATAGGGACATATAAAAAGTACTAGCTCTACTCGAATATATGTGATTTGTTATGTATGTAGACAGTTATGGCATACTCTCCAGATATTCTCATATACAGCTGTGACACATTCTCACCTGCTGCCTCTACGTTTGCCGTTTTTTACGTAGAGTAAATGCAACTATTGGATATTAGAATGAAATCCATGGGAGTACTCGGCACTAGTTCTACTGCAGAAGTCTTTTTTACCATAGCGTTGTAACCAAAGACTAACTAGGAAAATGACAATATTGAATTTATTTTGGGAAATGGTTAGTGCAAAAGTGCTGCGTTATCCAGACATCATTTTCCCTTCCCATCAAAATCAATTTGGAAAGTTTGTTTTGTACGCTCAACAATTTTTGTGGCTATGTCTTCGTTGCTTGCCACATTTGGACAATATTCCACTTCCTTAGTCTTGTTTAATTGTAGATGGCAATACTAACTTGTGGACACTTTGCAACACAAGTCAGTGGGATATTTTTTAATCCACCAGTACAGTCGGCTTCACATGGCCCAGATTTAAACATCAAAACACTGGGAAGTGGATACGACTAACGACTAACGACCAGCTTCAGTGCAGGCGCTGTGTGGAAGGCGTCAACATTAAGCCAATGAACCACGCTAAGTAGAAAGCGTCCTTATTATCGTCCCCGCACCCCCCCCCCCCCCCCCCCTCTCCCGTTATCTCCGCAGTGGATTATTTCTCTATATTTTGTGCAGCGGCTGATCGTCGTCAACTCTGCAAGGGTGCTTGAATTCATTCATGCGGCACCTAAATGTTATGCAGCGTTCGAACTGTAAACCGTTTGTTTGCTCTCCTCGGGCCATTTTCACATAGGCCGTATGAATTTGTATTATTACGACATGTTTTTGCATCACCGAAAGAGACTTGACCGAAGACATCACCGAAAGACATGACCAAAGACATCACCGAAAATTCATTGTTCTCCAATTCAAGCGTGCTACATTAGCTAACAAAACGCGAAAGAAGTTGCAGAAATTAAAGAACACCGCGAGAACACTGAAGCCTCACCATCCAGACACCGATAAAAGTATGACTTATTGACGTCTGACGGTTCGTCAAAAGCGATTCACGCTTGCATTAGGTTTTGTTCTCTGTTGCTTGCTCTTGGTTGCTTGTTCGTCAAAAAGGGCATGCTATGGCTGCAGGAACAATGCCTCCTTGCCGCTGACGAAACGTGAAGCATCAAACGCCGCAAGCTCCAGACGATTTGTACTGGACCATCGGCAAGTGGTGGCGCCTGACCTCTGACCTCTGCTTTTGGAGTCGTGCGCCAACACAACTCACCGCCGCGTGGCCTATCACGGCTTGTCATCCCCCTATTTGGTGTCCACTTGATACGCGGCCAATGCAGGCGTTTGGGGAGCCATGTGCTTCTCGAGCTCTCTCACCGTGATCCGTTCTCAGTTCCTGGAATGGCATTGACTGAGCGTGCGATGGTAGCCAATTCATTGCTTAGCATCATTGGCCTGAAACCTAGTAGCCAAGGATGATTCTAGTCCTTGGCTGAGAACAGGGCTTCTCATTCAGCCACTGGCTATGCTGCACATATTTATGCTGCTTCAACAGGCCTCGACTTTAGTTGGAACGGGTGCATATGCTTACAAAGGGCTAAATTTTGTAAGGTATCTAGTATAAAATGAGAGCAGCAACTTTAGAAGCATATTTGCAAAACCAAAAGCAAAAAGGTGGCCCAGCTGGAGGCTGAAGGTTACGACCTTGCTGCTCGTTGTCATCAGTTAAATCGACCGAGTGGTGTTTATCGGCATATTCCTGTTCATTTCTAACCAAATCACAATGGCCCCAGAAATCCACAGCGTCTAGTTACCTTACACGACGCGTTATTTTCGAGAGCCAGTAAAAAAACCCAAAGAAACCTGCGTATACGGCTAACCTCACGCTCAATCGACATGTGGGGACGGAGCCTGGGTCTCGAGCTGACAGCGGGATCATGACGTGCGCGTTTTCCGTTGGGTCCTCCCCAGCCCTCCGGCCTTGTTTACCGGCGTTTGACAAGGGCCAGGTGGGGAGGGGTTTTCCAGCGTGCTGACCGCGGAAGAAAACAGATGCGTGGCCCCGGCGATTCACGTAGAGATGTGAGTGGACCTGCGCAACCCATCCAACGACGGAATGGACTCCACGTAATGGACTGATGGAAATCCAGAGCCATCACAGCCATCTTCGGCAGCGAGCTTTTTTATTTCGGTAGGTTAAGCTATATTTCCGGTCTAGCTTCCATCACTTAAAAATGTTTTTATTGAAAAAAATACTGTCATCCGGTCAATATAAAATGTCCCTTCACAACCTCACAAAGCTTCTCAACCTTTGTCACATTTAGCGAGCTCCGCATGAAAGTCGCTACACCGGGTTTCACCAGCGAAGAACTGCGCGTAAGATCACACCAGGCCTTCGCGTTGTTCTCTGGAGGTGATCAACTGAGCCGAACACAGTTTCTGCAGCGCACAGTGCAATCATTAAAGCCATTATTACAGTCCCGTGATAACGCGCTGATTCTGGCTGGCGCCAGGACGATGCGCGAAGTAACGGGGATGCATGTGGTTTTCGACCTTGACGCCGTCTCGTCGGCTGAACCACAGCTTAAGGACGTTTCGGTCGTGTTGGAAGCGCCTGGCTGCGACGCTGCTACATGGTCGTTACTTATACAAACAGGCTTTTTAGCCTTTCAGTTGTCTCATGCGCTAGTTATTTGCAATAGACTAAGGTACACCTAAAAAAAAATATTCAAAGTTGAACATAAACAGGAATCTAGAGCCAAATACGAACAGAGAAGAACCGGATTGTATATTGCAAAAATGCATCGCATGTCCTAATGGCAGCGGCGATAGAGACACTTGCCGAAGGAGGCCCGTGACGCGAAAAGGGGCTTCCTCACAGGGGCTCGTGAAGCGGGCGTTGAATGTGATTCAGCTGACATACAGTCACGTCGGTTGCACGTGATTCAGCTGACATACAGTCACGTCGGTTGCACGTGATTCAGCTGACATACAGTCACGTCGGTTGCACGTGATTCAGCTGACATACAGTCACGTCGGTTGCACGTGATTCAGCTGACATACAGTCACGTCGGTTGCACGTGATTCAGCTGACATACAGTCACGTCGGTTGCACGTGATTCAGCTGACATACAGTCACGTCGTCACAGCTGTAAGACAGATGATATGAGGTGTTAGGATGTGATAAGTCGGACATTGATGCTGCGCAGTGTCATCAGCATTTAAGGCAATGTAAAGTGTAATGAAGACTGAGGAGGATGCTTATTTTGCTAGCAAAGTGATACTGCGGCTGGTATATGGAGAACAGGAGGCTCTCTTCGTTTCAAGTGGCTTAGGACGCGGGTTCACCTCACTAGAAGACTTGCAACAAGCACAGAAGAGCACCCCCAAGCCACTATTAACCGTAATCGTCTCTAACGCGTCCCCATACATACACACACACACATCATATACTATATATATATATATATATATATATATATATATATGTGTGTATATATATATATATATATATATATATATATACACACATATACATATACATACATACATATACATATTCTCTATCACACATGACATTTATAGTTCCCATCGCAGGCACAACTACATTGTCGTCAATCGTACGGGTGAGCCACTTGCTCGCGTTTCATTGGAGCGCTTGTCTCGAATTCCAAACTAAGCCCAGAGCTGTCGCTGTCACCCCTCAGCGCCTTAAGTGTAATATAATTAATGAGAGATGCGCCTGGCCCTGCAGAGAAAGCCAGAGCATTTCACAGCGCAGGATACCAATGTACCAAAATACAAATCCGCAATCCGTGCTTCAGAGTGTGCCAGCAAAGCAGTGTGTCGTTCTCCATCCGCCTCTTTTACCACATGGCCGCGAATACCTCATCATGCTGCGGTAACTATACTCTATCCCACCGTTTGGCTGCTCGCAGGCCCGATGAAGATCCTAGCAGGCGCCCCATGCCTCGTTCTCCGAATCCCCTGCCTCGCGGCCACCCCGACCTTCTCCGAAGTCCCGTCTCGAAGCCTTTGTATGCGCTACTCTTGCTCCTTTGTCATGACCATCAGTCCCTCGACCGACCCTCTTTCAATCCATTGGAGTGCGTGCGCCTGCCGGGGGGGGGGGGGGGGGTTGGAGGGGGAGGGAGCTGGTAACACTGCCCGGAAGCGTTCATCTATTCCTGGCAGGCGGCCGAGAACGCTCATTAGTAGCGTCACGTGACGGGTGAGAGCTCACCCGCAAAAAGCGGGGGTCGTTTGCTGCCACCACGAGGGGTGGCACCTGGTTTTCCCCAGTCAGTGCGTGTTGTGAGAGAGGACATGCCAGACACCGGCATTCCAAGTAATTTTCCTCGGCTCGGTCGGGGAACGCGTCGTCCAAGCGGGTTAAAAAGCAATGGCTCGGTAAGGTGACGGACGGTGAGCCAGATGTTTTTATTCCAATCGTCCGGCGGGGATAAACTTTGCATACGTTGACCTGCAAGTGTGTTTTGTAAAACGATTAAAACTTGCACAAGTTTGAGATAGAAGACCCTGTCAATAGTGACATAAACATTTTTATTTTCCTTTTGCCAAAAACATTACTACGTAAGTATTTTTGGTATGAAACAGCGATTAGAAAAACGCTCGCAAAGTTTCGGTGGATGATAATATTGTATTTAAGGTAACCTTAGTTCAGTTGTTTGGAAATAATCAAACGAATCCGTCGGAGCAGTTCTTGTTAAACGGGCGTTTCTTGCGGACAAATTTACCTCTCCAGGTAATATCATGTCACGATCTTCTGACAGCCTGATTATTTCGTGGCCACTGGTCATCTAATCGTTTTGACAAGCCAGCTTTCCGAGGCCTTTTTACGAGACATAAGCCCACAAAGTCTTCCATTTTAGTGGCCAAATAGCCAGGGCTCTAACCATCTAATTTTCGAAGATGGCAACTCTACACGTGTTTGCGTGAATATATGAAAGAACCAATTATCACAAGTAGTAAAGTCTGTTTACTTTCCCTTTTTGTGTGAGGCTCCAGAGGTGCCAATAGGATCCTTAACTCTAAAGATGACCAATTGATTGACACGGTCATCACTGTATCATGGTTTGCGTAATGTATTGGGCCAAATCGAGCCATACCCATTACTTCATGTCATTGTGCCTCTCGAGCCACATTTCCATGTTTATTGAAAAAAGGCTTAAGCTTGGACCGTCCTTAAAGTGCATGCTTGCGCTGAAATAATTGAAGTACATCGGAAACAGCTGACGACTATCTCACATCAACATGGAACCATCGTCACCATGCTGTGAATGATTAATTTCAGTAATTATGCTGCATCATTCGTTATGAATATTTGTTATAAATATGTTAACATAAACGCTGCAATGCATAATGAACGTAAACGTAAGTACTTAAGTCAAAATGCCTACCTTAGAGAAGAGTGCGTCACAAAAGGAAAGAAAGGATTTTGCCTGATAAGAGAAGACGCGTGTCTGTCCACTGTCTGACCTCTGTCTGACAGTGGACAGATGTCGCTTATCAGTCCGTCCGTCGCTTATCAGATGAGGACAGTCCGTCGCTTATCCGCTGAGCAAACCACATCGTGGTCAGATGACACCCATTTGTCGAGCGCCACCGCCGAGCTGCTATCAGAGGTCAGCCGTTGTCGGGCGGTGAGTGAGTGGGATAAATTTGGGGATGGCTTCGCCGGTCGTGAGCATGTTAACGTTGCCATGGCCATCGCCGAAGAGAGGAATGGCTGACATGTTATGGTCAGTCGAAGTGTTGAAAGATGAGAGCATTGCTCGAGCTGGTGCAGTGCTCATGTTGCAGAGCAATTGTAAGCAAACATGAAGTGCTCGCGCGTTTCAAGGGACGTCCAATGAGCAGAAAAAACTTGTGATTTTGAGTATTTGGATGGGGAACTGGTAGACATGTGGTGTGGTCATACCCAGTTGTAGTGTATTTTACCCAGTTAAATCACTCAGTTGTAGTGTTGTAGTGCACGAGGTGTATTTTCTAATCTTGAGCCGACGGAGTGGCTGGTTCGTGGATTGGCTATTCCAAAGCGTAACAGGATTGGTGAACAGCGAAATAACTGAAGAAAAGCAATGACGTACAGAAATTGACCGTAATGGAAAACGTAAAAAAGCATGTGACGAATGGACTTCTTTCCATTCTACAATGCTACACACCACGGCAGTAACGGGTTGAATTTCCGCGATGCCACATGGACGAGAAACAGCTCATAAAACATGCGGAGGAGAAAACAGAAACAGAGGGACCAAAGGCTAGTGGACCCCATCGCTTGCTACGCACGTGTACCACCAACATTCAAACTTTTTGCGAGCCTACACGCAGCCCGCCGCACAGGGCAGCAGCTCCAATTTTATCAGCGATATAATCATCGGGGCCATGACCTATAATTGGTATATGATATAATCCAAAAATATAATCCAACACCTGCAGATTTATCAGCAATATCCAGCCGTCAGTTATCTACGAGCAACTCAGCAAGAATATACCTTCTACTTTAAATGGCATTGCTTAGGTCGTTTTAACTTACATGGCTGGCAACAGCGATACGCTTTTAACGGCCCCTTATGCAAGAAACGCATAGCATTCAGTGTTCTAGCCCGCGAGAGTTTAACAGAACTTCGCGAGGCCGTTGGCTCACATTGTGCTGCTGAATTATATTGCAATAATGGTGAACTCCAGCGATGATCGTGCTCAACTTTTGGATTCGGCTACATTAATGGACTTGGCTTTCGTTCATATGTGCAGTGTGCATTAGAAATACATGCTACCAAAAGGCGCCCATAATCAATGAAGTCAATTTATTTTAGCTGCAACGATGAAATACAAGCAAGATCATGGATGTGGTAACTATACGAAAGTCAGTACATCGGTTACGAACACTCATCTCTAATATGTCATAAGGTGCCACTTTGGTCGCGATACACAGGTCTTGCGCAATGCACAAATGCAAAACAGTTTCAGCGGCTATTAGTCTATTAAACTAACACTAGAAGAAGTTCGGCCTGCGGTACTGCCGCCGGAATTGACCGATCGGCCGCTGGTAACTTCCGCGAAGTCCACCACCGAACGTCTGCTGGTTGGAGACGGCGTTGGTGTTTGAGAACTCCTGGTTGCCAAACAGTCCCGAGGAAACAGCGTTGGTGGCGCTGGCGGAGTTGGAGCTTACAGCATTGCCTCGAGCAGAACCCTGAAACAACATGTTACTGCTGAAACTTTGCATTGATGAATTACGGTTGTGATGGGCGCACAATTGAGACATTGTATTTCTCAAACGCAGTAAATATATCACAGATGCTGCAGACGCAACCTAAGTTGTACCTTTCTATTCATGTTTAAAGAACACAATGCTGCAGCTTTTCCCGGTTTTCCCTAGATATGTATCCAGTACAGGCACACTTACTGAGGCGGTGGCGCTGACTTGCGTGATCCGGGAATTCTGGAAGGGACCACTGCTGACCCCAGACACCACATTGCCGGCGGCATTTCCGGTCGCCTGGCTGTTCTGACCAAACAGACGTCCCGGGAAAAAGCCCTGCGGCGACGCAGCGGCGCCAGCAACTACGCAGAGCAAGATGGCGACGGTCTTCATTGTTGGAGGGAGCTGGAAACGCGATGGCAGGTGATGAGAGCTGGCAATAAACATGCGTGGTATTCAAGAAACGTTTGTTTATTTTCGACAACAGGAAGCCGGCAGTGGATCCATGGAATTAACATAGATGATTGCTTCCAGATTCAACACTTTCATACTGAAAACGAGAAATTATGAACAGTTGATATAACATTTACCAAAAAGCTCCAGATCGGAGATGGTACGTGATCTGACTCCACAGGCTGCCCACGGCATCCAACGCTGCACGACCACTCACCGTAGAGAGATGATTTAGAAGGCAGGAGGGATGGAAGCTGTCTGAAGGTGGTCTTCTCCCACCCCGGCTTATATACGGTGAGCCAGGTTCGGGCCAGTCCCACCAGTGGATCTACGCATGAAATTCCCTGATCAGGTATGCCGTTGGCTGTTCGCAGAAGGCACCGGGGCTACCGACGAGTTTGATAGAGGTGCGCATGGCTAGTGTACTGTCACCATCGGTCGGGAAGAGGGACTTTCGGTGTATACGCGGCGACCCGAACGACAAAAAATCTATCCCGTCGACGTCATTCAAGACGCCATGGATAATAAAAGTAACATAGTTACTTAGCAACATAGTTGGTTGGAACTTCCATCATAACATAGTTAAGTTACTTCTGAAGCTTTTGTTTTTCGCAGCGAGCAGGAAGACAAAGATTCCACACGACACTTAGCAGAATTTCTGCTGGACTTGCAGAATCTTTTTTTCTTTCCTGATCTAAGTGGGCAGAAATGACTGTTCGTCCGCGGACGGTCATCGAACGCCCCCCGCGGGCCTGGGGGCGTTCGGCCGTAGCACCGGGGGCTGCTGTGGAGCGGCCCGCCGGGTCGCCGTACAGCGGGTGCTGTCAGCTGAGGCGGCAACTGCATCCGAGCTGCGTGCGGGAGAGTCTTCAGCTGCTAGAACCCCTGCTGAGGCGTCATCTGCGACGGGACTTTGGTTGGGGCACCGGGGGAGGCAAAGCGGTCAGCCGGGCAGTTGTCTGTCCAGCAGCTGCCTGCTGAGCCGCTGGCTGGCGAGGCTCCTTCGCCTTCCGGACTTCCTGCCGGGATAGGTCACGCAGATGAAACCAGCAAAACCGCCGGTTAGTGTCTAATGTAAGTAAACCCCAGGTTGTTGCCAAATAAAAAAGCCAAACTAATTCCCTGTATCTTGTGGGAATCTTAGTGGCTGCAGTCTAACCAAAACGTCAAATTAAAGTATTTTTCAAGTGGAAGTTTTTGTGTCATCTGTATTGTTCAATATGTAAGTGGCTTTTGCATTTTCTTAGTCACACCGCTACGGACACCCCTTAAATATCGTCAGTCAATCTTGACCAAGTGGCCTGGTACTAGTACCATTGCATATTGTGATTTTTTCGATTGTTCCGTCTACAGAGTTTTCCTTTTTTGAAACTTGTGCGCTCAGCGCCGCGGGCTGCTGCCGCTCAGACCACCGGCGGGCCAGGTCGTGCCGATATCTGTTTATGCTAGTTTTTGTTCTTTTTTGAGTGTGAAAAAAATGGTCTAGCAACTCGCGCATGTGTCTGGGTACCACACACGCTCATCGCTCTTTGTCTTATATAGAAACAGCTGATCACTATCAAGCCTCGTGCAGTTGGCATTCAGTGAGGTTTTCTGTTTTTCCAGCGCACGCAACGCACACACACACACACGCACGCACGCAAGCACACGCGCACACACACACACCTGTCCATGCGCGAGCGCACATGCACCCTTGCACCTATTTACTGTTGATGAAACCGTCTAAATCATGACTTAGCTCAGATCTATGTCTATAAACCACCGCGGTCTAGCGGAGCAGCATAAAAGACGAGATGTAAGTAACTTCGTAAAGAATTCTGGGTTTCACATCACATTTCTTCATGATACCCTCATGGTTGCACGCAACATTCCACTTTTCAACACGCCTCGGTATGGCAAAGGCTATCGTTCCTGTAAAGCATGAAAGAGCCGAGGAACTGCAATTTTGTATAAAAAACTGCGTGCATCACGAGCTGTTGCTTGAAAGATACTGTCCCAATGGGAACCTCATTGTCATAGGTTGTAAGATAAACTCGATATTTACACTTTCATTAGCATATATGGCTCGAACGAGGATGTCCCTGCGTTCTTTCAGTCAATTGATGCCGAGCTAGAAAGTGTCCCGCCGGCTAACACCGTAATTAGTGGCGACTTTAACTTCGTTATGAATCATAGACCGGGCTCAAATTACGTACATGAATAAACGTAAATGGAAAAACTCCATTTCCGGAAGTTGCCATTGCGTAAGCGAGCGACCTGCGAGCGACCAGTTGAAAGGGACCATTTATTTAATTACACCACAAGCAATGCGATTTAAACAGGCTATAGAGCAAATCATAACATAGAAACATTTAAACTAAAAGAACCTTAGTAACAAAGAGGACCAGGATCGTGGAAGTGCAATGATTCATTGTTAATAGATGGTAACTTTGTAGTGACCGTTAAATGGTGCACAAGTAATGTAATCAAGCAACATGCTGTTCCATTCTATGGCGAAACTTACTTGGAAAATCCGCTTAATTTCGAAAATGTCAAGTTCATAGTAGATATAGCTGTGTTAAAACACGCTGTTGCTGGTTCGAGGCGAAACCGTAAAATACTCTAAATGAGAACAAATCGTGAAAGAGAGCAATATCAGGTAATCGTCATCGAACTGAGCGGTTTACATAAAAGGTTCTCAACCACTAAATCAGAACAAGACGTTAACTTGAATACATACGCGCAAACCAACCAGGAGATCTTTAGGAAGCCGAAACTTCAAGGCGTAATAACCAGGTCTAGAGCAGCATGGCACGATCACGGTGAGAAAAACACATAGTATTTTCTATCTTTAGAAAAAAAGAAGTAAAACTCAAAAATATATTCAGTGTCTGAGTCTGGGCATCCAAATCATTAAAAATAAAGGGCAAATATTAAATGAATTCACATCTCACCTGTCATCAAAGTACCGCGAGAGAAGCGATGGGACGGACTGCTCCGCATGTTTAAAAAAGTACCCCTGCGCTTATCTGCGGGGATCAGCCAATGCTGGCTGAACCTGCGCTCATGCCCGTTACCCGTAATTTTCCAATTGCACCCTGGCCTGATCCGAAACTGTCCAGCTAATGCACCGAGTCACAAACTCAAAAGGGTTTTCGTACTAGCGACAGTCAACTTTTACTTTGCCGTGCTCATTGAAATAATGTTTGCTCCAGACCATTGCTCATGCATTTATGACCTGAATGGTAAAACTGGAGAAATTTGGCATTAATATCAAATTCAAAAGCATGGTCAAGTAAAACCTGTTGGCGTATTTGTGTAACACTCTCCGCAAGGGCTTAGGTCATTAGCTTAGGTTTCGCGACATTGAGCATAACGCTTCAAATGCATGAACCGTTAATGCTTCACAGCAGCCCACATGTCTATATCTGTGTTTGTTCCAGAAATCAGTCATCCTATAAAAATTCGCGTATCGTTTTTTCAGGATTGCCTTATCCGCGTCCAATGATGAAAAAGGACAAGGTGGACAATCTACCCGTAGCACATGTGGCTGTGCCCACATCCACACGCTACCAATTCTTAATATTGTGAAATGGGAGTTCTTATCCTGACGAAAATCGACAATGAGTTTACGAGATTGTGCAAAGGTAAAAGCAGCGCGAGCAGTAACATTTTTGAATATTTTTTGAAGTGTCTACCCGACATTTTGCACCATTGCACCTATACCAACACCCATATCACTAATTTTCCCCAAATTTGCTGGCAACGTAACCTGTCATACATTATGTATTGGTCGGTACCCACGATTTTATTCAACCAGTGAGGCCTTTTAATTTACGGCACAACCTTGTCTTTTGTATTTTATGACAAATGCGAATAAGAAAGTTGGCAGATTAAAACAAGCTGATGACAAATGATTGATAGATAGTGACCGATAAGACGGGCCAAGACCCTCAAAGGACCTCCTGCGGAAATGCTTTGATATAGGTTTAGACAAACCGATTATAAAACATAGTGAATGTCCTCAAGTAACAACAATAAACTTGTCTAATAAACGCTCGCAATGACCTGGTGTGTGCACTCCATATCATTGTGTTGCCCTGCTGGACGTTAAACATTGGTTTTCAAACGTATGAATCGTCATAACCTTACAGCAACGAGTTTTTTGACATTCATGGGCAACAGTAATTTGCAACGCAGACATCCATAAAGTGCGTATCCGCAAATACAGTCGCTGCAAGAGTAAACCAAGCTTCACTGAAGTGCAGGTACCGGGACTACTCCCGATGGGTGATGGTAAGCTGGTCCATGCGCACCTCTAGCGGAAGCCTTCGGCCGGGCCGTGCGTTTTCTCTATATGATCCGCGACACGCTCCGGTCAGGGAATCCCGCCTACACGCCCAATCAGTGGAACAGGCCCGAATCAGGCCCCTGGTATATAAGCCAGGTTGGGAGGAGGGCAGCTTCAGACACTTCCCACTTCTTCAGGACAGCACAACTACCTTTCCTCCGGTGAGTGATCCATATCCTAAAAACAGAAAACTCACAGCTTTGGAGTGGCCCGTCCCCCGAGTTCATCAGTTTTGAAATGGCGCGCTTACACCGACGTAAGTCATCCGGTCATTGGTGGTTGGCACGTCCACAATTATGTCTTGCACGCTTTCGACCGATGATAGTTTCCGCATCTTAACATCCGCCGTCACATTTCCAGTTCCCTTCAGAGATGAAGACCGTTGCCATCTTGCTCTGCGTGGCTGCTGCCGCCGCTGCATTGCCGCAGGGCTTCTTCCCAGGTGGTCTGTTTAGTCAGAACGGCCAGGCGACCGGCAGTGCCGCCGGCAATGTGGTGTCCGGGGTCAGCAGTGATCCCTTCCAGAACTCTCGGATCACACAAGTCAGCGCCACCGCCTCGGTAAGTGTCCCTGCTACTGGGTACATCGCTAGAGAGTGTTACAATAAGAGCTTCGGCGTAATGGTCTTTCAACAGATACGGACACTCCCTTAAATGTCATCCACGTCATCCGAGTTTTTACATCAGTCACAGGAGTCATTACTTTGGTTTTGCAAATGTGTATCTGCCGTTTCAGGGTTCAGCCAGAGGCAATGCTGTAAGCTCCAACGTCGCCAGCGCATCCAACGTCGTTTCCTCGGGGTTGTTTGGCAACCAGGAGTTCTCAAACACCAACGCCGTCTCCAACCAGCAGACGTTCGGTAGTGGACTTAGCGGAAGTTACCAGCAGCCGATCGGTCAATTCCGGCGGCAGTACCGCAGGCGGAACTTCTACTAATCATGATCTAGCTGGTCCAGCGTTCGGGGAGTTGTTAGGGCATCTGTTAATAGTGTGTAGCGATGTGCGTGTCACGGATAAAAGAGCATTCCGTTTGTAATAATTGCATTCGTACTCCTCGTCGTTTTCAAACTCACATGACCCTAATTGTGTTCCATTGTCATAGCATGAAATAAATGAACTATCTGACGAATTTGGATGTTTGGAGCTAACTGATCCCAGGCTAGCTGCAAACATAGGGGTGCCACTTCTATCTGCAGCAAGTATGTAAGAACGGCGCAGTATGTGCAAATATGTATGCAAGTATGTATGAATGGTGTAGAATGGCAAGTCTGTAAAAAGCAGTTGAAATGAGCCATTATTAAATGCTCGAACTAGTCTGCTTCAACGACACTTATACGATATAGTTTATTTCGCCCTCACTCCTTTTGACCAGACCTCGTTGGTCAATTTCAGTCATTCAGAATCGCATTTGTTGATATTCACCAGTGGCGATCTCGGGGCGATAGCAAGATCCATTCCGCTTTGAGATAGCATGCGGACTCTACAAAGAGCTAATTGAAGGTCGTGGCCTCATATGGCCGGTCAAATATTGCATTCACTATCGTTTGGTCATATTTTTCTGGTGCGGCTTGACGGGATCTGCCAAATGCCACCACCCTGTGGCTCTAGCGTGCTGAGTCTTGGAAGGGAGAGGTGATGGTTGTGCTGACATCCATATGAGCACTGCATGAAATGTTTTGTAGATATCACTTTAGGATCACAGTCCATGCCAAGCAAATTTTGCTACAAAGATGCTGACGACTGCAGCGGAGTAATTTTGGTTCAAGCAGTTCAATGGACAATTTTGTGACCCGACCTTACTTCGCAACGCCATGCCGTGATTTGGTCGATACCAGCCTAATCCTCCCATGACCCGCCTGCATTTGACTGCCCTTAGTAGGTCAAAGTTTTGAAAACTAACTTCTCAGACGTGAGCTCACTTAGTCGATCACTCTTGTGGTAAGATGTCCAGGACCAATGCTATATAGGCCACGGACGCGACAACGTCATTCGTTTTCGTCAGCTTGAAATCAGGAAGGAGTTGACAACTGTACAAGTAGTAGCTTGCTTTCCCTTACGTGTGTGCTGGGCTTCAAAAGCACTAGCAATACCATCAGGTTTAACAATGATGAAATCGTTGAAAAGGTAACCATCATATCAAGCCTGAACGAATCCTTTGCTCCAATTGCATCAGATCGGTTGCCTCATGCCAAATGTTTTTCTCTCATGTTCTTTGCTTCTGGCAATGGAAATAAGGTAAAACGCGAAGGCCATACCGACGAGGAACAATTCAGAGAACATACGGAGGACTATACAAAAGCGGACAGGCCAAACTTGTATTTATGCACCGGTATCATTAAATGCGAACTGTAAATGGGATCGAATGTAAACCGTTTCTGGTGTCGATTTGACCACCGACACATTCATTTTGGTAATAACCTATCAAGTGCCACCTTGCTAGTCAACAAGACACATCTGTCAATTATTCAAAGCACCACGGCAAACTAAATGCCTACTTTATCCACCAATCCTGAAACTCTCTTCACGAAGCGGGTGGCAACAATTTTGCTCCCCCTGCTTATAACTATTCAGTTATGACAGATGCATAGTGGTCTGTATCTTATCTTATCAGGGCTTTGAAAAATGTTAGCGAACGTTGATTCACATTGCTGTGCTCAAATGCTTCGTGCTAATGGGGAATCTATGAATCATTCGCGTGCGTGTTTTGCATCTCAGCTAGGTGTGGAAGTGTCTTTTCAATGCCCATAGCTGACACCAAAAATGCATGGTTTCAAAAGGCATCAGTTAGATATTGTGTATATTTGTTTATATTTATTGTGTATATTTCGTGAAGGTGAAACACAGCCATGATCATGCATCTAGTCATTATGCGAATGTCGATACATTATGTACGCGAGTAACATATATCCTGGCGACTTCCCGAACACTAGGCCAAGCTAGATCATGACTAGTAGAAGTTCCGCCTGCGGTACTGCCGCCGGAATTGACCGATCGGCCGCTGGTAACTTCCGCTAAGTCCACCACCGAACGTCTGCTGGTTGGAGACGGCGTTGGTGTTTGAGAACTCCTGGTTGCCGAACAGCCCCGAAGAAGCGACGTTGGAGGCGCTGGCGACGTTGGAGCTTACGGCGTTGCCACTGGCTGAGCCCTGAAACAACACGTGAGTTTTTATGTAAGATACAGCTGGCATACACCAATGGAGGTGATGACAACTATGTCAATTCAGATACTGTGATTCTTGGATTATGCAATTTCATCATAAGTGTCCTGAGGTTCAATCAACAGTATATCGTCCACAGCTACATGAAGAACATTATACCGACATTGCTTAGCTCAACCAGTCTACTGGGGCTAACTTCATGTAATCCCTAGTGGTATCACCAATAGCAGGTCAGCTTACCGAGGCGGTGGCGCTGACTTGCGTGATCCGAGAGTTCTGGAAGGGACCGCCGCTGACCCCGGACACCACATTGCCGGCGGCACTTCCGGTCGCCTGGCCGTTCTGACTGAATAAACCACCTGGGAAGAAGCCCTGCGGCAACGCAACGGCGCCAGCAACCAGGCAGAACAAGATGGCGGCGGTCTTCATTGTTGGATGGAGCTGAAAACGTGACGGCGGATCATAAGATGACGAAATTCACATGCATGTTTTCTGTAAGTCATTTCAGTGTCAAGCGATAAAGTACCATGCAATTACCGAATACACCACACGGTGCCTTTGTAAGCAATTTGATCGTTGCCAGGCATGCATTTATTTACGAGCAACACCAAGCGGCTTTAAGTCAGCAAAATCTCCATTCAAATTCGGGGAAAGTACGTCAGCTGACGTCATTGACCTCAACTGAGTTCATCGAGTCCTGCTCACTAGCCGTGAGGAGTTAGTGTGCTCAGCGGTAGAACGGAATAGCTTCTGAAGCTGCTCACACAATTTCCTGGCTTATATGCGACCAAACGGGTTTGGGGTGGTCCCACTGAACGGGCGTATACGTGGGATTCCCTAGCCAAGGTACGCCGCTGGCTGTTGGCGGAAGACTCGCTGTGCGGCCTTTGGCTCTGTTTAGAGGAGCGCATGGCTCATCCGTGGCGCCAGTCATTTCAGTGACTGAGGAGATGATGGCGGGGGTGTCGGGTCGAAATATTATATCATCTACCCATGGACCCGCGTCACTTGCTGCTGTCCCAATATGACATGTTTCGTGCTGTGTTTATGGTGACGATTCTAGTCACGAGCAAGGGCTTGTCGCGACGTGCTCGAGCACAACCTGAAACGTTGAGCTTGATTAATAAAGCAACGTGTTCTTTGCTAGCATCGTGAAACCAGCGCCAACCGAAATGTAAGAGTGAACATTGTGGTTGGATTTGGATGAGAAGAAGAACTTTGAGCTAGTAATGCCAACAAATATGAGCTTAAAGCACTGTTTCTGCATCAAGCCTTGCTCATCAATCATACGCACTCTGTAGCCTCGCGTTTGGGCCTCCCAGGCTCTTTTGCTCTTGCTGAAAACTTACTCTCATAGCCTTGATTACTGAAAACCAGAGCGTACTGTGAGTGATGTAATCAACGTTAAAAAAGCAGCACATACAGTAACATTTTGAAGCATTCTTTGGAAGCGTCTACCCGATATTTGCGCCATAGTGCTTATCGCATCACCCATATCAATCATTTTTCGAAAGCTGGGTCTAACTTAATCCGTTATACAAATTAGATTGGTATGTACCTATAATTTTACCCAACCAAAGAGTCTTTTATGCTGCGGTGCAACCTTCAATCAACATACGACAAATGCGTATAATAAATGTGTTCAGAGGACAGAAAGCTTATGACAAAGGAAACATTGATAAGGCATGCCAGCGGAGTTACACAATATAATGACGGACAATATTTTGGGATTAGCTTATGAAAACTTATTCAAAAGCATAGTGCTTGCTCTTATTTAAGATACAAACACCTTGTATTCACTTACAATTGCAAACGTAAAGCAGACAGTCCACAACCAAAGGAATTGATCTTTAAAAAAGGCGCCAGTTGATCTTTCCAACAATTTGCATCACAACCTTGCATTACGCAACAGCTGTAAAGGTGAAGAAGCCTTCTCTCACTCTCTAAGAACGCACACGGTATCTGGAGCCGACCAACGTGCGGCGAGCCGACGCATGACTGTGGAAGACCAACATCCGTCTTAAGCACACGACGGAGTCGTGATGATGGTCGAGTTGTGCACGGTGGTGATGTCCTGCTCATAGGCAGCGAATGCGTGGTGCGCGGTTTCAAACGGACGAGCAGTGGCGTAAGTTGTTCTCTGGGACTCAACCCGCAACTACTCGTGGGCCTTCGCTTAATACCTTTCCAATTGTGTGTGGTGTCTTTGGATGCATTCACCCACACTGCAGTGCAGAAGACGGGGAAGTCAAACTATCGAATGTTGGTGGAGAACATCAGCCCGTTTGAAAACGTGGGGAGAGCTGCAGTTTTGTTGCGGCTGCGACGTTTTGCTGCATATGCACACACCTCTGAAGGTGTTCCAAACACGGTAGTATATGTCCAACATTGTAAACATGCATGACACTCTAATCCATTCACCACGTGATGTGACGAACACATAGAATAGAAAACAGAAAGCAGATGCGATAAAATTGTTCTACTTGGCCTCGGGCATATGGATTCAATTTTTGCCGCACTTATCTAAAACCGGTGTGACTATAGGGTTGTATGGTGCAACTGTGCGGGTTGTGCGCCCTCGCCCTCGCTCTCTTCCGAGCTCTGTATCTGACTGGGTGTCGGGGGGCGTCACGTGACTGTGGGTCTTCCGATTCGCCCGGGGTCAAGGGTCGGCCGCTGAGGCGGCGGCAGGGACCCGAAGCTCGCAGGTGCCAGTCGGATTTTGGACGAGTCTAGGCGGATACATCGCTACGTTCTCTTACATGTCCTTCAACCACAGTCGTTTCAACTTTGCAGTTCAAAACGCCACACAAACTGTCCTTGACGCACTTTATCAAGGACTGTTGTTCATATACATGACCAACAGTCAACAACAGCGCACACCCGTCATCACATTACGTACCTGCAATGACAGTCGTCTATAAGAGCAAATTGAGCTTCATTGAAGTGTAGAGACCGGACCGGCGCCCGGTGGGTGGTGGTGAGCTCGACCATGCGCTCCTCTAACGGAACTCGTCGGCCGGATCGTGCGTTTTCTCCTTACGTCCCGCGACACGCTCCGGTCAGGGAATCCCGGGTACATGGCCATTCAGTGGGACTTGCCCGAATACGGCTTTTGGTATATAAGTCAGAATCGGAAGAGGGCAACTTCAAACACTTCCCAGCTCTTCTGTACAGCACAGCTACCTTTCCCCCGGTAAGTGACCAGTATGCTAAAAACGGATAACTTGCAGTTTTGGGGTGACCCGTCCACCGAGAGCATCAGTTTTGAAGTGGGACGCTTATACCGATATGAATCATCCGGTCAATGGTGTACATCAGCCATTATGTCTTGCACGCTTTCGACCGATGAGACAGTTCCCGCATCTTACCTTCCGCCATCACGTTTCCAGCTCCCTTCAAAGATGAAGACGGTCGCCATCTTGCTCTGCGTGGCTGCTGGCGCCGCTGCGTTGCCGCGGGGCATTTTCCCAGGTGGGCTGTTCAGTGAGAACGGCCAGGCGACCGGAAGTGCCGCCGGAAATGTGGTGACCGGGGTCAGCGGCGGACTCTTCCAGAACTCCCGGATCACGCAAGTCGGCGCCACTGCCTTGGTAAGTATGCCTGCTACCGGATCTACCGCTAGAAAGAGTCACAATAAAAGCTTCAGCTTAATGTTTTTTGATCAGGCATAGACCCTCTTGCTTTGCTTAAACGACTCCGTTATCTGGATGTCTACATCAGTTACAGGAGTCATCCATATACTCACGTTATGTTTGCTTGTAAATATCCATGTGGTGTTTCAGGGTTCAGCCAGCGGCAACGCCGTAAGCTCCAATGTCGCCAGCGCCTCCAACGTCGCTTCTTCGGGGCTGTTCGGCAACGAGGAGTTCTCAAACACCAACACCGTCTCCAACCAGCAGACGTTCGGTGGCAGACTTAGCGGAAGTTACCAGCGGCCGATCGGTCAATTCCGGCGGCAGTACCGCAGGCCGAACTTCTACTAGTCATGACCTAGCTGGCCCTGTGTTCGGGAAGTTGTTATGGTATCTGTTAATAGTGTGTAGCGATGTGTGTGTGTAGCGGATGAAGAACCATTCAGTTTGCAATAGTTGCATTCATACTCCTCGTCTTTTTCCAACTCACATGACCCTAGTTGTGTTCCATTGTCATAGCATGCAATAAATGAACCATCTGACGAATTTGGATGTTTGGAGCTATCTGATCCCAGGCTAGCTGCAAACATAGGGGTGCCACTTCTATCTGCAGCAAGTATGTAACAATGGCGCAGTATGTGCAAATATATATGAAAGTATGTATGAATGGTGTAGAATGGCAAGTATGTGAAAAGCAGCTGAAATGAGCCAGTATTAAATGGTCGGAATATTCTGTCTCATTTTCAACTGCTTCAACCACACTTGTACGATATGGTTTAATTCCTCCTCGCTCTTTTTGACCAAAGACCTCCTTAGTCAATTTCAATAATTCAGACTCGCATTTGTTGGTGTTCACGAGAGGCGATCTCGGGGAGATTTCTAAGATGCATCCAGCGCCATCTTTCTCAATGTCGAGGCATATTATTTTCTGAGATAACAGGCGGACTCTACAAAGTGCTAACTGAAGGTCATGGCCTCACATGACCGGTCAAATATCACGTTCACTATCGTTTAGTCATATCTTTCTGATGCGGCTTGACAAGAGCGGCCAAATGTCATTATCCTGTGGCTCCAGCGTGCTGGGTACCTGAAATGAAAGGTGATAGTTGTGCTGACATTTCTATAAGCACTGTATGAAATGTTCTGTAAATCTGACTCTGGGATCATAGTCGCTGCCAAGCAAATCTTGCTGCAAAGATGCTGACTACTGCAGCGGAGTAATTGCGGTTTAACAAGTTCGATGGATAATTTTGTGACCCGACGTTACCTTGTGACGTCATACCGTGATTTGGCCGATACCAGCCAGATCCGTCCGTGACCAGCCTGCATTTGACTGTCCTTAGAAGGCCAAATTTTTGAAAACTATTTTCTGGGACGCGAGCTCACTTTGTCGATCACTTTTGCCGTAAGATGTCCATGACTAATGCTATATAGGCCACGGACGCGACAACGCCTTCCGATTTGGTCAGTTTGAAACTAGGAAGGAGTTAACAACCGTACAATTAGTAACTTACTTTCCCTTACATGTGTATTGGGCTACAAAAGTTCTAGCAACGCCATCAGGTTTAACAATGATGAAATCGTTAAAAAGGTAACCATCATAACAGACCTGAACGAATCCTTTGGTCCAATTGCATCAGATCGGTTGCCTCATGTCAGTTGTTTTTATCTCATGTTCTTTGGTCCCGGCAATGGAAATAAGGTAAAACTCGAAGGCCATACCGACGAGGAACATTTCAGAGAACATACGGAGGACTATACAAAGGCGGACAGGCCAAACTTTTATTAATGTACCGATATCATTAAATGTGAACTGCAAATGGGATCGACTGTAGACCGCTTCTGGTGTCGATTTGACCACCGACACATTCATTTTGGTAATAACCTATCCAGTGCCACCTTGCTAGTCAACAGGACACATCTGTCAAATATTCAAAGCACCACGGCAAACTAAATGCCTAGTTTATCCACCAATCCTGAAACTCTCTTCACTAGGCGGGTGGCAACAATTTTGCTCCTCCTGCTTGTAACTATTCAGTTATGACAGATGCATAGTGGTCTGTATCTTATCTTATCAGGGCTTTGGAAAATGTTAGCGAACGTTGATTCACATTGCCATGCTCAAATGCTTTGTGCTAATGGGGAATCTAAGAGCCTTTTGTGTGCGTTTCTTGCATCTCAGTTGCATGGGTGAAAGTGATTTTTCACTGTCTCCAGCTGACACTAGAAATCTATGACTTCAAAAGGCGTCCTTCAAGTACTGTATATATTTCATCTCATGACGATGAAACACAACCATGATCATGAGTATAGCCACAATGCAAATGACGATACATCGCGTGCGCAAAGAACATATGCCTTAACAATATCCTGAACGCAGGGCGAGCTAGATCATGACTAGTAGAAGTTCGGCCTGCGGTACTGCCGCCGGAATTGACCGATCGGCCGCTGGTAACTTCCGCTAAGTCCACCACCGAACGTCTGCTGGTTGGAGGCGGCGTTGGTGTTTGAGAACTCCTGGTTGCCGAACAGCCTCGAGGAAGCGACGTTGGAGGCGCTGGCGACGTTGGAGCTTGCGGCGTTGCCACTGGCTGAGCCCTGAAACAACACGTGATTTTTTTGTAAGATACAGCTGGCATACACCAATGGAGGTGATGACATCTATGTCACTTCAGACACTGTGTTTCTTGAATTATGCAATTTCATCATAAGTGTCCTGAGGTTCAATCAGTAGTATATAGTCCACAGCTGCATGAAGAACATTATACCGACATTGCTTAGCTCAACCAGTCTACTGGGGCTAACTTCACATAATCCCTAGTGGTATCACCAATAGCAGGCACACTTACCGAGGCTGTGGCGCTGACTTGCGTGATCCGAGAGTTCTGGAAGGGACCACCGCTGACCCCGGTCACCACATTGCCGGCGGCACTTCCGGTCGCCTGACCGTTCTGACTGAATAAACCACCTGGGAAGAAGCCCTGCGGCAACGCAGCGGCGCCAGCAACCAGGCAGAACAAGATGGCAACGGTCTTCATTGTTGGATGGAGCTGGAAACGTTACGGCGGATCATAAGATGACGAAATTCACATGCATGTTTTCTGTAAGTCATTTCAGTGTCAAGCGATGAAGTACCATGCAAATACCGAATACACCACACGGTGCCTTTGTAAGCAATTTGATCGTTGCCAGGCTTGCATTTGTTTACGAGCAACACCAAGCGGCTTTAAGTCAGCAAAATCTCCATTCAAATTCGGGGAAAGTACGTCAGCTGACGTCATTGACCTCAAATGAGTTCATCGAGTCCTGCTCACTAACCGTGAGGAGTTAGTGTGCTCAGCGGTAGAACGGAATAGCTTCTGAAGCTGCTCACACAATTTCCTGGCTTATATGCGACCAAACGGGTTTGGGGTGGTCCCACTGAACGGGCGTATACGTGGGATTCCCTAGCCAAGGTACGCCGCTGGCTGTTGGCGGAAGACGCGCTGTGCGGCCTTTGGCTCTGTTTAGAGATGCGCATGGCTCATTCGTGGCGCCAGTCATTTCAGTGACAGAGGAGATGATGGCGGGGGTGTCGAGTCGAAATATTATATCATCTACCCATGGACCCGCGTCACTTGCTGCTGTCCCAATATGACATGTTTTATGCTGTGTTTATGGTCACGATTCTAGTCACGAGTAAGGGCTTGTTGCAACGTGCTCGAGCACAACCTGAAACGTTGAGCTTGATTAATGAAGCAACGTATTCTTTGCTAGCATCGTGAAACCAGCGCCTACCGAAATGTAAGAGTGAACATCGTGGTTGGATTTGGATGAGAAAAAGAACTTTGAGCTAGTAATGCCAACAAATATGAGCTTAAAGCACTGTTTCTGCATCAAGCCTTGCTCATCAATCATACGCACTCTGTAGCCTCGCGTTTGGGCTTCCCAGGCTCTTTTGCTCTTGCTGAAAACTTACTCTCATGGCCTTGATTACTGAAAACCAGAGCGTACTGTGAGTGATGTAATCAACGTTAAAAAAGCAGCACATACAGTAACATTTTGAAGCATTCTTTGGAAGTGTCTACCCGATGTTTACGCCATAGTGTTTATCGCATCACCCATATCAATCATTTTATCGAAAGCTAGATCTAACTCAATCCGTTATACAAATTAGATTGGTATGTACCCATAATTTTACCCAACCAAAGAGTCTTTTAAGTTGCGGTACAACCTTCAATCAACATACGACAAATGCTTATAATAAATTTGTACATAGGTCAGAAAGCTTTTGGCAAAGGAAACATTGATAAGGCATGCCAGCAGAGTTACACAATATAATGACGGACAATATTTTGGGATTAGCTTATGAAAACTTATTCAAAAGCATAGTGCTTGCTCTTATTTAAGATACAAACACCTTGTATTCACTTACAATTGCAAACGTAAAGCAGACAGTCCACAACCAAAGGAATTGATCTCTAAAAAAGGCGCCAGTTGATCTTTCCAACAATTTGCATCACAACCTTGCATAACGCAACAGCTGTAAAGGTGAAGAAGCCTTCTCTCACTCTCTAAGAACGCACACGGTAGCTGGAGCCGACCAACGTGCGGCGAGCCGACGCATGACTGTGGAAGACCAACATCCGTCTTAAGCACACGACGGAGTCGTGATGATGGTCGAGTTGTGCACGGTGGTGATGTCCTGCTCATAGGCAGCGAATGCGTGGTGCGCGGTTTCAAACGGACGAGCAGTGGCGTAAGTTGTTCTCTGGGACTCAACCCGCAACTACTCGTGGACCTTCGCTTAATACCTTTCCAATTGTGTGTGGTGTCTTTGGATGCATTCACCCACACTGCAGTGCAGAAGACGGGGAAGTCAAACTATCGAATGTTTGGTGGAGAACATCAGCCCGTTTGAAAACGTGGGGAGAGCTGCAGTTTTGTTGCGGCTGCGACGTTTTGCTGCATAGGCACACACCTCTGAAGGCATTCCAAACACGGTAGTATATGTCCAACATTGTAAACATGCATGACACTCTAATCCATTCACCACGTGATGTGACGAACACATAGAATAGAAAACAGAAAGCAGATGCGATAAAATTGTTCTACTTGGCCTCGGGCATATGGATTCAATTTTTGCCGCACTTATCTGAAAGCGGCGTGACTAAAGGGTTATGTGGTGTGATTGTGCGTGGTGTGCGCCCTCGTCCTCGCTGTCTTCCGAGCTCTGCATCTGACTGGGTGTCGGGGGGCGTCACGTGACTGTGGGTCTCTCGATTCGCCCGGGGTCAAGGGTCGGCCGCTGAGGCAGCGGCAGGGACCCGACGCTTGCAGGTGCCAGTCGGATTTTGGACGAGTCCAGGCAAATACATCGCTACGTTCTCTTACATGTCCTTCAACCACAGTCGTTTCAACTTTGCAGTTCAAAACGCCACACAAACTGTCCTTGACGCACTTTATCAAGGACTGTTGTTCATATACATGACCAACAGTCAACAACAGCGCACACCCGTCATCACATTACGTACCTGCAATGACAGTCGTCTATAAGAGCAAATTGAGCTTCATTGAAGTGTAGAGACCGGACCGGCGCGCGGTGGGTGGTGATGAACTGGTCCATGCGCTCCTCTAACGGAACTGGCCGGCCGGACCGTGCGTTTTCTCCTCACGTCCCGCGACAGGGTCCGGCCAGGGAATCCCGCGTACACGCCCAATCGGTGACACAGGCCCGAATCAGCTCCCTGGTATATAAGGCCGATGCATGATACATACATGTATATGGCTAGTCAAAGATCGCATTCACTTCTGTTTAGTCATGTATTTCTGATGCCGCTTGACGATAGCTGCCCAATGCCCGTACCCTGTGACTCTAGGTTGTTGAGTTCTGAAGATTACGCTGAAGGTTGTGCTGACATTTCTATGGGCACTGTATCACATGTCTTGTAGATATGATTGTGAGATCATGGTCCCCACCAAGCAAATATTGCTGGCAAGATCCTGACAGCTCCAGCAGAGTAATTTTGGTTCAGCCAGTTCGACGGATCATTTTGTGGCCCGACTGCATCTTGCTACGTAGTGTTATGATTCAGCTGATACCAGGCTGATACTTCCGTGACCAGCTGACAATCGATTGTATTGAGTAGGCCAAATTGGTGGAAACACTTCTGAGATGCGAGCTCACATAGTCGACGACTCTTGCGATCCGGTGTTCATGATTACTTCTATCTGAGCTGCGCAAGCGGAAACGTCTTTTCTTGCCGTCAGTTTGAGATAAGGAAGCAGGTAATAATCGTAAGAGAATTATCTTGTTTTCCTTTGCGTGCGTGTGTTAGCCTTCAAATGTACTAGCAGTGCTATCAGGCCTAAAATGACTAAATCAACAACTAGTCAACCATTTTATCAGACATTGCCGAATCCATTTCGCCATGTTGCACCAGAGCGGTTGCCTCATGCCCATCGCTTTTTTGGATGGTTTTATCTCCCGGTAGTGAAAATAATGTAAACTTTGAAGGCAATTCCATATCAATGGCAAACACCTATGTTAATATACTTGAGAGTAAAAAATAGCGGACAGACAGGGTGTGTTGGCATGCACATGAACTCACTTAATTCAAAAGTTTGAGGTTCCTATTGCACGACTTTCAGGTTAAATAAAGTCAAACAATGTCAAACTCCAGCTTGGTGTCCGAAGTGGCTCCATAACCTAAATGCATGTTCTAAGCAAAAGGTCACATCCTCATTTCGAACCAGTAGCCTTGTTGGACTTCTCGGAAATAATGGTGACCGAAATCATGCAAGAATACTTTGAGTTTTGCATTTGAATAGCCCACAAAGGTGACGCTAGGCAGTATGCCCCTAAAAACAAACGGTTGATCTGGGCCATTTTTGGTCAGTGAAATATTCTGACTCAAAAGATGTTCATGGAAGATGTATAATGCGGTCCTTTCTATCAATCAATTCGACATGAGCACTAGAAACTACCCCATGCAACAGCCCCTAATGTAATAGCACAGTTTGGTTTTGACCTTTGTCTGAATTTCGTACCTGACCCTCAGTCAATGTGATTTGCTTATTCAGGTGCTGTATTGGCCAATAAAGTATCTCAGAGATGTATGGTTTCGTGTAACACTCCGTTGTTGTATTAGATTGAGCGATTCCCTAGCAATTAACTTCGCTGAATCGATGCCTGATTTTGACCTGCCCTAGGTCAATGACTTTACAAGGTCAATCTAATTTTTCAGAAAAAATCAAGCTACACGCTATTCAATTGTGTATGAATATGCAAACTTTGGCATTTCAACACCTCGTCGTTCGGAAACCATTTTGGGAAAACCTTCGGACGTGTTAATTTGAACTTTACCAGAGCGTATGTTAAATGTTTTGTGGAGCACAGCAGTATGTGCAAAAACAAAAAACATGAGGTGGGCTGCAGTTGTGCTGCAGCAGCCACACTTGGCTGCCGAAGCGCACACCTCTGAACGTGTCCCAAACTAAGCAGTCTAAGCCCAAAATTATAACCATTAAGGACACCTTAATATTCTGAATCACTATAAGTGATTAAGAATATTAAAGTGTCCATTTACCACACCTTGCGACGAACAAATGTAAACGAAAGCAGAAAACTGTAATGCATCTGACTTAAGTCGCACTCATCTTAAAGCAGTCTGACTTCAGAATTGTTCAGCCATGGTTGGACCAAACTTGACAGTTTGAAACGCCACCGAAACGGTCCTTGACGCACGTTGTCAGTGACGATTGTTCGCATATATGAGCAACAGCCATTAACTCTGCAGACACGTCGTATCAATTGCGTATCTACGTATGTAAGTGACAATCATCTGTAAGAGAAAATTAGCTTCAATAAAGTGCAGGTATCGGGACTACTCCCGATGGGTGATGGTAAGCTGGTCCATGCGCACCTCTACCGGAAGCCTTCGGCCGGGCCGTGCGTTTTCTCCAAATGCTCTGCGACACGCTCCGGTCAGGGAATCCCGCGCACACGCCCAATCAGTGGAGCAGGCCCGAATCAGCTCCCTGGTATATAAGTCAGGTTGGGAGGAGGGCAGCTTCAGACACTTCCCAGCTTCTTCAGGACAGCACAGCTACCTTTCCTACTGTGAGTGACCCATATCCTAATAACATAAAACTCACAGCTTTAGAGTGACCCTTCCCCCAAGCACATTACTTTCGAAATGGCGCGTATACCGACATAAATCATCCAGTTAGTGGGGTTCGTACATCACCAATTATGTCGTGCACGCTTTCAACCGATGATAATTTCTGCATCTTACAATCCGCCGTCGCGTTTCCAGCTCCCTTCAGAGATGAAGACCGTCGCCATCTTGTTCTGCGTGGCTGCTGGAGCCGCTGCATTGCCGCAGGGCTTCTTCTCAGGTGGTCTGTTCAGTCAGAACGGTCAGGCGACCGGAAGTGCCGCCGGCAATGTGGTGTCCGGGGTCAGCGGCGGTCCCTTCCAGAGCTCTCGGATCACGCAAGTCAGCGCCACAGCCTCGGTAAGTGTGCCTGCTACCGGATCCACCGCTAAAAAGAGTCGCAATAAAAGATTCAGCTTAATGCTCGTTGATCAGGCACGGACCCTCCTGCTTTGCTTAAACGACCCCGTTATCTGGATGTCTACATCAGTTACAGGAGTCATTCATATACCCACGTTATGTTTGTTTGTTAATATCCATGTGTTGTTTCAGGGATCAGCCAATGACAACGCCGTAAGCTCCAACGTGGCCAGCGCCTCCAACGTCGCTTCTTCGGGGCTGTTCGGCAACCAGGAGTTCTCAAACACCAACGCCGTCTCCAACCAGCAGACGTTCGGTGGCGGACTTAGCGGAAGTTACCAGCGGCCGATCGGTCAACTTCCGGCGGCAGTACCGCAGGCCGAACTTCTACTAGTCATGACCTAGCTGGCCCTGTGTTCAGGAAGTTGTTATGGTATCTGTTAAAAGTGTGTAGCGATGTGTGTGTGTAGCGGATGAAGAACCATTCAGTATGCAATAGTTGCATTCATACTCCTCGTCGTTTTCAAACTCAGCATGACCTTAATTGTGTTCCATTGTCATAGCATGAAATAAATGAACCATCTGACGAATTTGGATATTTGGAGCTATCTGATCTCGGGCCAGCTGCAAACATGGAAGCACCGCTTCTATCTTTACCAAGTGCGTAGAAATGGCGTAGGATGTGCAAGCACGTATGCATGGCGTACAACGGCAAATATGTAAAAAATACAGTTGAAATGAGCCTATTATGAACTGCTCGAAATAGTCTGCTTTAACCACACTTGCACAATATAGTTTATTTTGCCCTCGCTCCTTTTGACCAAAGACCTCCTTGGACAATTTCATAGTCATTCAGGCTCGTGTGTGTGTGTGTGTTCACGAGGGGCGATCTCGGGGAGTTTTCCAGGAGCTAATCAACGCCATCTTCATCAATTTCAAGGCATTTTATTTTTTGAGAGAACAGCAAGACTCTACAAAGTGCTAATTGAAGGTCGTGGCCTCATATGACCTGTCAAATATCGCATCCACTATTGTTTAGTCATATCTTTCTGGTGCGACTTGACGAGAGCCGCCAAATGCCATTACCCTGTAGCTCTCTCTAGCGTGCTGAGTGTTGGAATTAAAGATGATGGTTGTGCTGACATCTCTAGTGAGCATTGTATCAAATGTTTTGTAGATATGACTTTGGGACCACAGTCCCTGCCAAGCAAATCTTGCTGCAAAGATCTTGGCCACTCCAGTGCGATAATTTCGATTTAAACAGTTCAATGGATCATTTTGCGACCCAACCTTTCTTTGTTACGTCATATCATGTCTTCGCCGATACCAGTCTGATCCTTCCGTAACCAGCCTGCATTTGACTGTCCTTAGGAGGCCAATTTTTTGAAAACTTACTTCTGGAACGTGAGCTCACTTAGTCGATCACTCTTGTGGTCAGATGCTCATGACTAATGCTACGTAGGCCACGGACGTGACAACGTCTTTCGTTTTCGTCAGCTTGAACTTAGGAAGGAGTTGACAACCGTACAAGTAGTAACTTGTTTTTCCTTACATGTATGTTGGGCTTGCAAAGTATTCGCAATGCCATCAGGTTTAGCAATGATGAAATCAATAAAAGGGTAATCATCATATCATACCTGGCCCAATCCATTTGGTCCAATTGCATAAGATCGGTTGCCTTATGCCAATTGTTTCCTCCCATGGTCTTTGTTCCTGGCAATGGAAATAAGGTAAAACTTGAATGCCACATCGACGTGAAACGTTTCATAGAACATAAAGAAGACAGGCCAAACTCGTATAGATCCACTGCTATTACTAAATGCGAACTGTTTATGATCTCTAAACGGGATCGACTGTAAAATAACTACCTAAACGAACTAAATGTCTAGCTTATCCACGGATCCTGAAACTGTTTTCACTAGGCGGGTGGTAACAATTTTATCTTCCTATTTATAACTATCCAGCTATGACAGATGCATAGTGATCTGTATCTTATCTTACCAGGGCTTCGAAAAATGCTAGCGAGCGTTGATTCACATTGCTGTGCTCAAATGCTTCGTGCTAATGGGGAATCTATGAATCATTCGCTGTGCGTGTTTTGCATCTCAGCTAGGTGTGGAAGTGTCTTTTCAATGCCCATAGCTGACACCAAAAATGCATGGTTTCAAAAGGCATCAGTTAGATATTGTGTATATTTGTTTATATTTATTGTGTATATTTCGTGAAGGTGAAACACAGCCATGATCATGCATCTAGTCATTATGCGAATGTCGATACATTATGTACGCGAGTAACATATATCCTGGCGACTTCCCGAACACTAGGCCAAGCTAGATCATGACTAGTAGAAGTTTGGCCTGCGGTACTGCCGCCGGAATTGACCGATCGGCCGCTGGTAACTTCCGCTAAGTCCACCACCGAACGTCTGCTGGTTGGAGACGGCGTTGGTGTTTGAGAACTCCTGGTTGCCGAACAGCCCCGAAGAAACAGCGTTGGAGGCGCTGGCGGAGTTGGAGCTTACGGCGTTGCCACTGGCTGAGCCCTGAAACAACATGTGAGTTTTTCATGTAAGATACAGCTGGAATATACTAATGGGGGTTATGTCAACTATGACACTTCAGACACTGTGATTCTTGGATTATGCAATTTCATCATAAGTGTCCTGAGGTTCAATCAATAGTATATCGTCCACAGCTGCATGAAGAACATTGTACCGACATTGCTTAGCTCAACCAGCCTACTGGGGCTAACTTCACACAATCCCTAGTGGTATATCTAGTAGCCGACACACTTACCGAGGCGGTGGCGCTGATTTGCGTGATCCGGGAGCTCTGGAAGGGACCACCGCTGACCCCGGACACCACAGTTGCCTGCGGCACTTCCGGTCGCCTGGCCGTTCTGACTGAATAAACCACCTGGGAAGAAGCCCTGCGGCAACGCAACGGCGCCAGCAACCAGGCAGAACAAGATGGCGGCGGTCTTCATTGTTGGATGGAGCTGGAAACGTTACGGCGGATCATAAGATGACGAAATTCACATGCATGTTTTCGGTAAGTCAATTCAATGTCAAGCGATAAAGTATCATGCAAATACCGAATACACCACACGGTGCCTTTGTAAGCAATTTGATCGTTGCCAGGCTTGCATTTATTTACGATCAACACCAAGCGGCTTTAAGTCAGCAAAATCTCCATTCAAATTCGGTGAAAGTACGTCAGCTGACGTCATTGACCTCAAATGAGTTCATCGAGTCCTGCTCACTAACCGTGAGGAGTTAGTGTGCTCAGCGGTAGAACGGAATAGCTTCTGAAGTTGCTCACACAATTTCCTGGCTTATATGCGACCAAACGGGTTTGGGGTGGTCCCACTGAACGGGCGTATACGTGGGATTCCCTAGCCAAGGTACGCCGCTGGCTGTTGGCGGAAGACGCCCAGTGCGGCCTTTGGCCCTGTTTAGAGAAGCGCATGGCTCATCCGTGGCGCCAGTCATTTCAGTGACTGAGGAGATGATGGCGGGGGTGTCGAGTCGAAATATTATATCATCTACCCATGGACCCGCGTCACTTGCTGCTGTCCCAATATGACATGTTTTATGCTGTGTTTATGGTCACGATTCTAGTCACGAGTAAGGGCTTCTTGCAACGTGCTCGAGCACAACCTGAAACGTTGAGCTTGATTAATGAAGCAACGTATTCTTTGCTAGCATCGTGAAACCAGCGCCAACCGAAATGTAAGAGTGAACATTGTGGTTGGATTTGGATGAGAAGAAGAACTTTGAGCTAGTAATGCCAACAAATATGAGCTTAAAGCACTGTTTCTGCATCAAGCCTTGCTCATCAATCATACGCACTCTGTAGCCTCGCGTTTGGGCTTCCCAGGCTCTTTTGCTCTTGCTGAAAACTTACTCTCATGGCCTTGATTACTGAAAACCAGAGCGTACTGTGAGTGATGTAATCAACGTTAAAAAAGCAGCACATACAGTAACATTTTGAAGCATTCTTTGGAAGTGTCTACCCGATGCTTACGCCATAGTGTTTATCGCATCACCCATATCAATCATTTTATCGAAAGCTAGATCTAACTCAATCCGTTATACAAATTAGATTGGTATGTACCCATAATTTTACCCAACCAAAGAGTCTTTTAAGTTGCGGTACGACCTTCAATCAACATACGACAAATGCTTATAATAAATTTGTACATAGGTCAGAAAGCTTTTGGCAAAGGAAACATTGATAAGGCGTGCCAGCAGAGTTACACAATATAATGACGGACAATATTTTGGGATTAGCTTATGAAAACTTATTCAAAAGCATAGTGCTTGCTCTTATTTAAGATGCAAACACCTTGTATTCACTTACAATTGCAAACGTAAAGCGGACAGTCCACAACCAAAGGAATTGATCTTTAAAAAAAGGCGCCAGTTGATCTTTCCAACAATTTGCATCACAACCTTGCATAACGCAACAGCTGTAAAGGTGAAGAAGCCTTCTCTCACTCTCTAAGAACGCACACGGTAGCTGGAGCCGACCAACGTGCGGCGAGCCGACGCATGACTGTGGAAGACCAACATCCGTCTTAAGCACACGACGGAGTCGTGATGATGGTCGAGTTGTGCACGGTGGTGATGTCCTGCTCATAGGCAGCGAATGCGTGGTGCGCGGTTTCAAACGGACGAGCAGTGGCGTAAGTTGTTCTCTGGGACTCAACCCGCAACTACTCGTGGGCCTTCGCTTAATACCTTTCCAATTGTGTGTGGTGGTCTTTGGATGCATTCACCCACACTGCAGTGCAGAAGACGGGGAAGTCAAACTATCGAATGTTTGGTGGAGAACATCAGCCCGTTTGAAAACGTGGGGAGAGCTGCAGTTTTGTTGCGGCTGCGACGTTTTGCCTGCATAGGCACACACCTCTGAAGGTGTTCCAAACACGGTAGTATATGTCCAACATTGTAAACATTTATGACACTCTAATCCATTCACCACGTGATGTGACGAACACATAGAATAGAAAACAGAAAGCAGATGCGATAAAATTGTTCTACTTGGCCTCGGGCATATGGATTCAATTTTTGCCGCACTTATCTGAAACCGGTGTGACTATAGGGTTGTATGGTGCAATTGTGCGGGTTGTGCGCCCTCGCCCTCGCTCTCTTCCGAGCTCTGTATCTGACTGGGTGCCGGGGGGCGTCACGTGACTGTGGGCCTTCCGATTCGCCCGGGGTCAAGGGTCGGCCGCTGAGGCGGCGGCAGGGACCCGAAGCTCGCAGGTGCCAGTCGGATTTTGGACGAGTCTAGGCGGATACATCGCTACGTTCTCTTACATGTCCTTCAACGACAGTCGTTTCAACTTTGCAGTTCAAAACGCCACACAAACTGTCCTTGACGCACTTTATCAAGGACTGT